AGGCACTTGTTACTACTAGCGTGGCACTTGTTACTAATAGCTTTCAACTAGGTACATCCACTCACAGGGTCAGGTATGGCCATGGCCGTGTGGACAGCTGCTTGGTTCACAGGTTCAGGTTTGAGGTGACTTTAGGGAGGCTGTTGGGAAGTGACCTGGAAAACATGATTTATGTGTTTTCCTGGTAGCGACAAGATTCATGCATGTACAAAAAACAACATTGGTTGCAAGTTCTTGCAGGTGGAAAGTTCTTGTTATAGAATTATGTTGGCCGCGCCAGCCACAGAAACAAGGAGCCACAATGATTTTATAAAGCAAAAACACAGCAAAAAAAAGCAAAAGGTAAAGTTAAAGCAAACAAAAAAGCAAAAAAATGCAGCTGTGCGTGTTTGTCGCTTTTTTTCACTTCTTTTTTCCGCTTTATTTTCGCATGTTTTTCGCTTTATTTTCGCTTTTTTTTCGCTTTTTTCCTTGGAGCGTACAGCAAATATTGCTGACGGGTAAAAGTGCAGAAGTGGTACCAGGAAAAAAGCCAAAAAAAGCAAAACAAATGCAAAAACAAAGCAACTTGCGCTGCTTTTGCATTTTCATTTGCTTTTGTTTTGCTTTTTTCCCGCTTTTTTGTTCACAAAAAACAACATTGGTTGCAAGTTCTTGCAGGTGGAAAGTTCTTGTTATAGAAGAGTTGTGCGTGCAATGTTCTTAACAGGACAATTCAGAATGAGTGATCTTAACTCAGTGGATTCTATTGTTTTGGCTGGATGCACACTCCTGCGCACTCTCTGAAGTGAAACATGTGCGAAAAGACATCCACACATATTATACTTTCATGTTTTTTCGCTGACAGACAAGCATACCTTTCAAGGGTGCGCTTGTGGTTTACAAGCATCCGTCATTTGAGTTGATTCAATCTCAATTATATAACCTTTTGCACCAACACAATTATATAATCATTGCTTTTGGGGTCATCCATGGTTCACGCAGCAGGCTGGACATCTCCGTATGCGCATATTGTTTGGGCAGTTTTTTGGGGGCAATACTTCTATAAGAGGCATACTTGTGTTTGGAAAACCGAACGGATCACCCAAAGAAGCACCCGGGACATCCCAAGACCCTGCGGAAAGATCAGTCAGAGGAGGGTCTATCGAATGAAAACCTCGGCATCACTCGACCAACGGCGTGACCACCAACTGCAAAAAGGTTGAGGTTGATGTGACGCATTGGCAATCAAGTTCAGCAACTCGCAGAGGTTGAACAACATCGTCAAGTATAGAATATATATATATATATAATGTATTTCTTTTAATGTAGCTATGTTGGGGTCCTTTTTTGATTTGCAGGATAGTCATCACGACTCAGGCAACAAGAGATTGTACTCATAAGGAAGATCTTCGACTTTCTATCCCACTTAACATTTGATCCCTTTGTGGTCAGACAATACTCACAAACAGTTCAATCAATGCCGCCTTCCGAATGTTGGACAGGTGGCTTGCTGTTGCGGTCTTGCCGTCGAATGCGTTTGTTGGCACGACTGCTTGGACCCCAGTTCGGTTGCCACTTGCCACAGCCACTGACGTAGACCAAGCACAGCGCTCGAAGCCAGTGGAAGAGTTTGGCTGGCTCGAGCCTTTGAGGCGGAGCAAGACGCGGCCGCGGCAGAGAAGGCCTCCGTTCCAGATGGAATGCGCGGGCTTTTTCCAAGGAATGGGATGCTTCTTAATCTTGAGAGTCATCCTCAGGAGTGAATCCACTTTGACTTCTGGTGGTCGGGCGTTGCACATGTTATTACATAACCGCCTTGTTACCAAGTCATGCCATGTCATGTCCCATATACCAAATCTACTGCAGGATAACTTGACTGATCCATTCAGTTTCACTTGTGAACAACAAGTGAGTTGAGGTTGAACGGTCAAGTTGAATCTTGCGCTTTGGCAGGAAAAGCTTGCTAGCCAGTGGTTGCCCATGGTTGTCCATTTGCAGTTTCCACGGTGAACCTGTCGGGGTGTCCATGTAGCCATGTAGGCGTATGTCCTCAAACCGGCGTCCCTTCAGTTCAGGACTCAAGCAGGACTGTCCTCAAGCCAGCCGGCATCATTGATCCATTGATGAAATAGAAGTTGGATTACACAGACTTTGACCAGGCTTGTACCCCACACCAGCACTAAGCTTGGAGCTAAAGAGTCTTAAGCTTACTTTGAGCTTCACGTGTCCACCATGCGAATCGTGTGCCTTTGTCTCCTGGCGACCCTCCAGCTTTCCTTGGCCGATCGGGGTGCTCAGAGCCCGCCACGCCCGCGCCCGCGCCCGCGCCAGCAGGGCGCGCCGGGTCGGGCGCGGAAGTCGAGGCCTCGTGTCGAGGGCCCCTCGATCTCCCTGGAGAATCGAGGCCGCTTGCAACGACTGGAAGAGGGTGAAGAACCGCTCGAAGTGGTGGAGGAGATCCTGCAACATCCGGAAAACCTCACGCGGGTGAAGGAAGTGCAAGTTTTTCTGACAGCCTTTGGGAAGTTGCAGTTATGGGAAAAAACCCTAGAGCTGTTGGAAGCGAAACGCACAGGCGAGTGGCCAGTGGGTGATATAGTGCTCACCAACACGGCGATGTTGACATGTGGCTTGGTGGGCCAATGGCAGGTGGTGCTGGGGCTCTTAGCTGATGCACCTCGGAAAGGGCTGAACAAGATGTCTTACAATTTGGCCATGCAGGCTTGCTGCAACGCTGGAAAGTGGGAAATCGTGTTGAGCTTGCTGGACCGGCAAAGAATTCCGGACTTCGATACCTTCAATGTGACTTTACATGCTTGTGCTCAAGGTGGCCAGTGGGAGATTGGTCTAGCTGCCTTGGATGAAATGCTCTTGACGAAGACGCAGCCTTCATGGACGATGTACAATCTGGGCCTTATTTTGGCCGCGCAGGGTCGACGGTGGGAATCTGCCCTTGCCTACTTGGATGACATGTGGACACGAGTCGTCATTCCAGATGACATGACCTACAGCTCAGCAGTTGCTGTTTGCGAAAGGGCCAGCCAATGGCGGCCGGCTTTGTCTTTGGTGCAATCCATGAAGAGGAAAGGTTTTCGGATCAAAGCGGAGACCGTCCAAGCAGCCCTCAGAGCATGTGAGACGGCCCAGGCCACGGCTGCAGAAGAGATCTTGCGAAAGATGTTGCCCAAGCCGACCAAGGATGGTCCGATGCTGGGTTGAGCAAGTGTAAAATGACCGAAGCGTGAAGATATTGATATTTGCAACGTGTTTGTTTGCAATGCTGCATGCTTGCATTATTGTTTAAACAATTTTAGAGTCAAGAGACTTCGACCTGCAGAGAAGGCTTTACTGTGCCTGTACCTCTTTAAGATCTTTAAGCTTTGGCAGACTGGTATTCGAACATTTGGCTGTTGGCAGAATACTTTGAACTCTTCAACTTGTTTTTTTACAGTTTCTTTGCAGCACGCATCGTTTGGAGTGTGATATTCCAGTAATTAGATGTAATTAGCAATAATTAGCTCTGCAAGATGATGTTTGATTTCTTGCTTGCTCATTCCAGACTGAAACTGCATTTTGAGAGGGAAGGCCAACCACTATGTGGGAGTTGATCTAAAGGGGTGTGTAAGTGTAAGTTTTTTTCCATATAGAATGACCTTTTAGGTGCTGTCCAAGCCGTTTGCGAAAGATCCGCCATGAGGTTCGCGAAAGTATCGATCTGGCAATCCTCTGGCAGGGCCAATGGGCGGAAGTGTCCCGAATTCCCCACACGAACTGAAGCCTCAATGTTTCCTTGCCGAGCCCTCACTGAACAAGCCGACAGCTCAACTACTCAACTTGCCCTTGACAGTGCGTACAGGATTGTCCTTCCCCAAGTTAATTCACAAACTGCAACTGCATCACCCTTGCGCAGCCCTGACACAGAGGCAACGATCCGCAGTTCCTTTGGGCACAACATTTTTTTTGTGGAAATCACGGCTGAATTTTTGTGAGAGATCCGCGAAGCGTCAAAGTCCGGCTCCACTTGAGCCCCCGCCACATTCCCCGAGCTGCACTGTTTTGTGTTGGTAGCTGGCACAGGGGTTGGATTGACGTGTGCCTGGCTCTATCCCAAGCTTCCTCCAGGACCCCAAGGTTTGTCGTGCAGGTGCTGCAAGTGACCCTAGATCAGCTGTAGCAACTCTCAACCTTGTGTCTAGGTCATGCTGCAAGATGCCAGTCACTATTTGTTGATATTACAAGTATAGTTCCACCCTGTTCCAACAACACATGTTAACTGTTAACTAGACATGGCTTTAGGACCTTGCTTCGCGAGGAGGCCACGAAAGATTCGTGAAAGGTATTTTCCCAGCGAAGAATAGCCATTGCATCATGAAAGAATATTGATCAACCGCCATGAGTTCTTCTCCTACACCTTAGTTAATGTTTGATGGTAATTGGTTAACATCTACTTTTCGATTGTTCCGGATACTGGAGGCACCTGGGGGCCCTTGATTTCAGACACAAAGCCATAGCTTGAGTCAACCCACCACTGAAGTTTCAACGCAGAACCTGCTGACGTTTGTGTAACTATATACTATATATTATATATTGACTTGAACCTGATTGAATCTGACGGCGTCGCATCCTCCATGGATTTTCATAGTCCAGTACCACAGGTTGGGCGTGCTTGGAGGGTTTTAAGCTCCATGTGCTCAGAGGCAGATCTTCCATTGACACTCCATCCAGGTGGCGTCCATTGCAACCTCCACGGAGCTTGTTGACCAGGAGAGCTGTTTCTTTGATGACGGTTCTTACAAAATTCAGAGTTTTTTGACATTTTTGGAAACCTTTGCTTGGTTCCGGTCAGTCCAAAGTCTTCTGAGCTGATTCTAGTGTCAGGCACGTGCACGAGGAAGAGACATCCTTCTGGCTGAGCGCCCAGAATCATTTCTTGCATTGCTCCAGAGTATGATACCGTGGCAGATCACAGCAGATCGAAGCAGGGAATCAATCTACACATGTGGATTTGGCAGGTGCCTTTTTCTCGCACAGTCATGTGGCAACAAGCTGGCTGCCATAATTTCATAATACTGTACATACATATATGTATATATATATATGTTTCTTAGTGGATCAACTCGCATGCTACCACATAGCCATGTGGTTCTGCCCAAACAAGGTTTGTCAACAGCTTGAGCCAATAATTAATTTGCCACTAGCCTCCAAGTGATTGTTTGTTTCAGGGACATTTTCACTCAACATCGATATGGGTTTGGATCATTACCCGTGTCTACAGCGCCCGCTTTGATTGCCAGGATTCCTGAGGGTCTTCATGGCCAAACCTGGCAAGAGCCAACCCGACCCGACCCTCCCGTGGTAGACCGGTCCCGGCCGACCTGTCCCGGGGAAAACCGCGGGGATGTTACTACTAGTAAGGCACCTGTTACTACTAGTAAGGCACTTGTTTCTAGTAGCGATGCAGTTCACCGGTCGCAGTTCAAAGGTGATGCTTGTGCTGGGGATTGTGGCCTCGGTGATGTTCTCCCGTTTGATTGCGAAGCCACTTAGGCCTGGGAGACGGACCAGCTTTTTCAAAGGGATCCCTTTTGGGTTAGAACCATGAGAACCACTCCGGGGAATTGAAAGGCTTTGTTCAATGCTGTCAAGTTCATTAGCTTAAACCCTTATGTGTTTTTTTTTCTGATGCAGGTCAATCCTTCTTCCTTGGTTTTGTTTCTTTGGTCCCGTGGTTTGGAAGGGGTAAAGGTAGGAATATAAGCGCTTGCTCCAGAAATAGAGTTGCAAGACAATTCCAAGCACACTGTTTGTTTGTTCCTGAAGCAGACCATTTTATGTAAATTGTTGCTGATTTGTGCATCCACATGTGAGATATGAACATACTGCATACCACAATCTTCAGTCAGCTAGCAAGAGCACAAAATTTATAGGGGCTTGCTCTCAGCTACTAGTAACAAATGGCATCGCTACTAGGAGCAAGGACGCTACTAGGGGCTCCTGGCCTTACTACTAGTTACAAGAAGCTATCAGGAACAACAAAGCTAAGGGGGCTTGCTTCTCACTGAAGACGCTTCTTTGTGCCTCAATCTGTGGACAGGAACCTCACACAAACCATGGCCAGACTTGGTCAGCTGGACTTTACTGAGTGCCTCGACCTGGTTGTTGAGCATCGCTGTGAACACGAGTCCAGCGGCAAAGCATCAGCGCTCCCTTGAGAGATGAGTAGGCACTGACTCGCCTATATGCGGCTGTGGGTCCAAACTTGGAACCCCAATCTCTTGCAGCTTGACCATGTCAGGTAGTCTGTTCTGCATCTTCCGTGGTCAACCCGGGTCCCCCGGTTTTGACCCATCGCCATATTTCACATCATGAACTGAACATCATTACATTGCATCATTCATTCCAGTGCGTGACAGGCAAGGGTAAGGTCATGGACGAAGTAGATGAAACAAGTCACGGATGAAACAGGAGTGACTTGAGGGTCACTGGAGGTCACTGTATTTCATTTTGAGACAAACCAATGAGGGAGGAAAGTTGTGGTAGCCTTTGTAGGATATGAGCAATTGAACAAGTGCAAGAGGAATAGTTCCAACCAGCTGGTGACATAATAGAAATGGTGAGGATTTCCTGGAGATTTGTCTCCTTCTACTGTATCTTTTGGGAAGCTGACCTCATCAATAGGGGCTTCCCGGGGTTTCACCATGGTTCAACAGAAACCTTGGGAGTTGCACCTCAGTTCCTCTCATTGAATCGGTGAATGAACCGGGAGTCGCCAGCCTAGGTGTGCACAGTTGAAGATCCGGCCGAGCAGTCGGAGGCGGAACCGTTTTTCCATGGTTTTCCCATTGGTGACCTAAAAGTTGTGACTGGTTTCTGCAGAACACAAATGAACATATACAGTACAAAAACATGGAACACAGGGTGATTTTGGTGGGGGAGCTCAATTATACAAATGGGATGCGCTCAACAGTTGTCTCCATTCGAGACAGTCCTTTGGTTTAAGCCTAAAGGTTCAATTATGATTCAGCCTCCCCAGCCAATTTCTTTGCAAGATAAGATACGAAGTCTTGTTTTTTGTTTGCTTGTGATCGTCTGAGTCGCCGAACGACACCTAGGCGACATCAAGATACATCAACGGTGAAGAATCCTATGGCTTATGTAGCTCATGTTGATGCCCAGTGGCTAGTTCACTGACGACCCCGGTGCGGGCTCTGGCGGAACCGGGCGGAAGCCGGGAGCTGCTTCTGACCACTGAAAGCCGTCGTTGGACAACATCCGCTTCAGCCAATTCGTCTTGTGCCAGGGCACTCGGTATTCGCGAAATCGAGAATCTGCAACTCACGTGCGGGCGCCTGGGAAACATCGCTCAAATGCTTCGCGATGGCGTCCATGGAGTGGGAAGGCGTTCCAACGAAACTGTTTTGTGTTGAATCGTTCCCACGATCTTCCCATGATCCCAGGATAGGATTCTTCAATTCTTCATGTTTTCGCTGCCTTTGCCTCAAAAGACACCGATTCTTCACGTACCACTCACTCCCCCCCCCCGAGCAGGTCTCGGGGTTTGGAACGAACCACGAACGCCGGAGCTTCCCAACGCCGGAGCTTCGGTGGCCGCCATGGTTCGACATTTGCCAACCTGGTGCCATGATCATATGATGATTGATGATCATGGAGTTAAGATGAGCGCTGAAGAGGTTTGGACCCCGAAATTCGGGACTTAATAAGACGTAATGACACAAAGGACAGTGTGAGCTTTGGGATATTTGTGCACTCGGTTTAGGAATCGACGGTAAAACTTCAGTATCAACATGCTAGTCAGGCCCGGACTCTAGCAACTTTTAAGCAATATCCCACGGGTTGGCACCAAACCACCACAAGGATATGTTATGATATATATATATATATATAATGATATAATATATAATAGTTATATACTTTTCGATGTTCCCAAGATGATTGACACCACCGAGCATGACCGGGCACGCCGAAGCGGCTGCGGCCCCCGACCGCGAGGTTCTGCAAACTGGTGCGGGGGATCAGCACCTTTGCTCGCTTTGTGCCTGAGACCGTGGTGATCCATGGCATGCTTCGCAAATGAGGGACCTTGGGTGTGATGAGAGGTTTGGAATCGGTTTGATGTTTCAATGTGGATGGACGTGCATCGGTTCTCTTCTATGTTCTTCAAACATATTCAATCATGTAATTACCCTCAATATCCCTCAATACTCATCTCGAGCCAGTTTTTTTCACCACTTGGCCCTGGTGGGGAACACAGAATCTGAGTTTGGGCTGATTGATGTTCCTTGACACCAGAAATCCCTTGCTCCTAGTAGCGATGCCCTTTGTTACGCAAGTCAGCGATGCCAGGTGTGCAGCATCGTTCAGAAGGGCGACTTTCAGGGCACCCGCCTGGAGGAGCGACTGACTCGTGAACGTCGTGGTGCGACTCGTGAGTCGAAGTGAGTCGATGTTTCGAAGCGCCCATTTGAGGCAATGAACCCCTCACACAGAGCCCACTACAGACCCCTTTGGCATGCTTTGGCAGTTTTTTTGCTTTGGACCCTCAGAGGTTGGTGAAGTATTGTTCTTCTGATGAGCTTTTGTTCTATGATCATGGCGGAGAACACTTCAGAAACGTGGCTCACATGTGGTTTGGTTACCACATCCATCCACATCCCACCCTTCGAAAGGATGTAATAAATTTTTAAATGGTTTCAATCAAACAAGATTGGATGAGAGGCATTTCATCAATTCATTTTGCTTTCAGAATCAGTCAGTTCATCTTCCAACCCGCCCCTTTCGGGAGAGACGGCCGGTCACCATATGTCACCAGGTCACGAGAAGAATGGTGACTATCATGTCCGAACCCGCAGAAACACCCTGGAAACGCTGCCTGGTCTGAGTGTTTCGTTTGAGCATGCAAGTCGCATGGTGTAGAAGGAGTGCTGAAATAGAACTCATCGAAGGAATGCCAAAATGCACCCATTGGCATTGCTTTTTTTCAGGAAGCGAGGTGTGTTGCTGATTCCTTTTTTGCGTTTTGAGACGCTCCAGAGTTTGAGTGAAAGAGTTGGCAAGTGAACCAGACCACGTCAAATGCCAAATGCAAATACAGCTCTCCATGTGTATGATATTGCATCAGTCCGGCCAAATCATGATGTGCGTATTAACCCTGTTGTATTTGCGTTTTTCGAGCTCCTTTTCTCCTTGGCCATGGCCCGTATTTGCTGTTTTGACCTTCCACAGCACCTTTTGAGAGTCACCGTTACCTGGCATACGATATGGAACACCTGGCGATCTTTTCGTGTGGGACTTCCTTCACTTTCAAGGCGGCCATCAAACTCTGGCCATCAAACTCCCATGGCACCTTTCTCCGCATTGAGGTGCACTGACATCAAGGGCTTCACTGGCATTTGTGAGAGGTTGAGACCGCCGGGCAGCCCACCGATCCGTGGCCGGCCGTGGAAGCCGTGCTCCCATTTGACGACGGAAGAGGTTCCGGGGCGGAACCCGCACCTTCGGGGAGGCTCATGTTGTTGGAAGCTGAGAGGTCAGGGCAGTTTTTTTTGAGGTTCATCCGGTTTTGGCTTCTGCAATCCTCCCAATGCAGATCAGAATGGTGCGAGCTAGACGGGGAAAAAAGATGTGAAGGAAGTAAATACTGTAGGGTCACTTGAAGCTCACTAACTTACTCGTCGTAGTGATTGGAGTGCTTTTTTTTGTTTCAACATTCCGGTTTTTACAGGAGTGCACCCTCCAGAAGGATGTCAGATTGTTTGTGGCCATTCCACATTGAAATTGTAACTGAAGTGCCCCCGATTCAGTGGTCATTCGAGGAATATCCCACTTGGCTTGATAGATTCCTGGTCTTGGCATGTCTTGGCTATGTCAACTATAGTTGATTTGATTTGAGGAGAGACCTGCTGTACATGCTCACTCGGTACTTCTCGGTGCGGATGCTCAAATGAATCCTCCAGATCCTGTAGAACTGTGAGTGGAGAAGTGTTTTGCCCCAACCAAAGTAGAATTCATAGACGACCTCAGATGAACTGTGAATCCCTTCTTGATTTGCCCTTGTGTGTTCTGATCTACTTGCACGTGTTTGCATTGGTTCTACAGCATTGGAACAGGTCAAACATCTATGAGCATCCCATTCATGCACTCTTGCTAGGAGCTTGAGAGGAAACTGCTTAGACCCGCAAGTCACGTAGGTGACATCTTCAGCGCGCATAGAGATGTGTCAATTTGGTCACCCTGTCATATATGGATCACCAATGCTTCACTGCTCCAACAATTCTGCTCAACACTGCTCTGTTGAGCTTTAAGGCACCAAGGGAGCCCCAGCACACTTGGTTTTCCGAAGAAGAAGAACCCCAGCGTCACTTTGGGTGACGAAGAACCCCGGGGCTGGTTTCCGATCCCAAAGTCACTTCGAAGGGTGTTCGATTCCAGGTGCCTTCGAAATATTTTCTCCACGAAGTGGATAGCATTTCGCCTTCGCAAAAGCACTGGAGCCGCTTTCCTATGCTCGATCTATTTCCCCGCCCTTTCAGGTGATGATGCGCGTCGTGGAACTCTACGGAGGTGGGATGACTCGTCGCAAAGAAGCGCTGAACAGGAGAGATCAACTGAGCTCGTTTTTTTTGCGTATCCGACGTATCCATATCGGTTTTTAGCTCTGTGGAACATGGAGAAGAGAAAAACTCCAAACAATAACGAAGCTTCCTTCTCCTCCTTCCTGTTCTGCATTGAACTGCCAAAGATCGGGCCCGTGAGTGCTCCACCATGCACTCGCTGGTGTGTGTGTGTGCGTCTTTCCACAAATTTGTTCGAATACATTTACTTTTTTTGTTGTGGGGATCTACTTTTCTATCTATTTGGGGGGTCTACAAATGTACATGTGATAAGTATATATATATATGCAAAAAACAAAGATATCAAGAAACGCCGCCCGAAACACCTCAGGTGTAGTGTCTGAAATCCTTGGAGATGGCCTCATTGTCTTTTGGAATGCACCCGACACGGTGAGGAACTGAGAGCTGGTGGAGAGAACTCCCTTGTACTAGCGATGGCCTTCAACCTAAGAGCGATGAATAGAGATGGCCTCCACCGTAATGGCGATGACCTGGAACCTAAGAGCGATGGCTTTCAACCCAAGAGCGAGAGAACTCCCTTGATGTCCTGCAGTTGGAAGCTTGCTTTACATGTTGCCTGCCATTAGTTTGGGAAACTGGTAGCATGACTGTTCCATGTTTCCTCCACAAAGTTAACGGGTTTGTTTCTTGATGCCGTAAAGTTACATCCATTTGAACTGGATCTCTGGACTCTGGACACATTGCTCGCATGCTTACCCTCTAGACTGGATTGAAGAATTTCCAGCCTTTCAACTAGCAGTAACTAGCCTGCAGGCGCAGCTTCGGAGTTTATCGGCTTAACCGATACTTCCTGGACATTTTCGTACGTAGAATTCAACATGCAAATTGATCTGCAGGCTCGAGCATCGGGCGGGTGCCAGACTTGCACATGTGTGACCCAAGGTTGAGGATCATGCCGGGAAAGCTTGTGCTGCTGCACTGACGCAGCAGGAGGCAGTTGGGGTTTCTCATACGATTAGCTGTACCCTCCAAGTTCCATTTGAATGGATACTTTAGATGAGCTTGAGTTATAAACGCTTCGATTCCAACCGTCCTTTCGCCTTTGGACCTGTCTCGAGTTTTGCCTGCCTCTTTCTAAAACCCCAGTGCCTCAAAGGCAACACGCCACTTGGCGAACTTTCCACGCAGCAGACTGTTGACTGCACTAGTCTTACTCTTTCTGGCTTCATGATACGGAAAGCTGTTGCAATGTCGCTTCTGCCCAATTTGCTTCCTCGTGGAGGCACTTCGTGGGTTGAATGGCGAGTATACCGTGTATGCAAGGCACTCAGAGTCCTCACTGTTTTGAGGCTGGACGTGTACTTTCTGTCCAGAGAAGTCAGAAGCAGCGCTTTGTTGGGTTCGCATGGTTTGTGTCAGGGTGGTTGGGAACATCTACAATCTGAGATGTTGTGAACGAATGTGAACGACCGGAGTTGACCCTTTTGAGGGCTTCAATCATCAACTGATGGCATGACCATGCATGACCCATGCCTGCCAATACCTACAACTTGAGGGTGTCCAACACTACTGAAGCATACTGAAGCCTTGTATTGTACCATGAGGCTCCTTGAGTGCTTCTTGGATTTTTTGTAAGTGCATATGCCCTTCTATGTGGAGCTTTCCCACACCTGAGCGCACAACACAAGCTGAGCTCATTGGGGTGGTTTCTTTGTTGCAACAACGATGCTGGAACGATTCCAAGAACCTCTGTGCATCGCAACATCGCCACGGTTTGGCACCGGGGGAGTTCCGCCACTGAGGAGCTGCCGGAGATATCGATCCGCATTGGGATTCATACAGGGTCAAACGCTGAGCCCACCAGAGCGAAGACCTGGGGAGCATGTGGGGAATGAGTCGAGGGGAAGACCTGGGAGGTTCCTAGGGAACGCCGGGCTGTTCTATAAGAATATCCGACAATCTGATCATGCTTGCACAGCTTCTTTGATCAATTATCATTCTCATGTACAGTGTACAGTCACTGGTTGATGGTGTCGCCAAGTGTGCAGACCAAGACCCTCTCATCGACAGATCAAATCGGCCTCCTCCTTGTCTCGAGGTCCAGCTTAGTCGGCAACATTGGAAGTGAGTCGCAGCTTGGTCCTGCATGTGATATCCTCGCCATTGGCATTGGCATGTGCGACATCAGCTGGAAGCACCCATCCTCCAGTTTTTTCTGTCCCATCATGATCGACAAATATACTGTGTCGAGGTGCGATTCATTTGATGGTATTTGCTCATGCTTGGTTTGTGGATACTCAACAGGACCAGAGACGCTACTGTATTGTATGTCATGCAAAATTGTTACGTCGGAGAACCGAGAGCTACCAGAGAATATATACCGGTGTATCAATACAGCTCATCATGAGTATTTCCATTTTTTGGGGCACCTTGAAACCTAGGCCCTAGGCTTAATCTTGACCTCGGGAAACGGTTTCTATTCCAGGAGGTTTCAAGCGGTGATAAATTGCTCTTAGATTGCATCAAGAGTGAGTCAGCAAACATTTTTTCAGAAGCTGAAGATTCATCAAGTCTTGAATTCAGACGCTCAGCTGAGGAAAATGAAGTATGGATGTCTGGTGCTCATCTTGAATCTTTTTGGAGGCCATCGCTATTAGGTTGGAGGCCATTGCCATTGGTTCATATAACTTAAGTTTCCCTAAACATCTAGAAACATCTAGAAACCAAATCATTAGTGCGAGCGCTTCTTCAAGGAAGCTTCCCCTGCTGCCTTTAGGGCGGCGGGGGGAGCTTCCTGGAAGAAGCGTGAGCTATCCTGCGTCCTAAGTAGTAGCGTTCTTGTAGCTACTAGCTTCTCCCTTAATTAAGTAGGTACCTACTTATTTAGGGAGGGGGAGCGGGCTTTAGAACAAAAAAGAAGCCTCCAAAAGCGGTGAAGCAACCGCTCCGCCCCAGAGCGACAGAGCCTCAGCTGCCACGGCGGAGCCTACTTTGGGTCGATTCACAGAAACGATTCTTGCTCTTGACAGTGACTATGCCACTCTGCTTATAAGTGTATATACGCAATACTAGTGACCTATATCACTATATCAACTGTATATATAATATATATACTATGTCACTATCACTAATTATGCATGTATTGGTGCACAAGGTACTAGGGTGAGAAACGAAGCGCAACAGGCTATCATGGCCCAGCTGGGCATGGTTGAGCTTGCGTGTTTGACCCCCCCCCCGAGGTTTGGGAGATACGAAGCGCGTTGCGACCAAGCTCGAGGCCAGGGTGCCAAGCAGTGCGAAGTCGTTCTTTTTTACAGACTATATAACGCAGGTGGACGGTTTTGGTCCCGGTCCCATTCATTGGGCGATATGTCATTCACATGAGAACTGCCCAAAACATGCCAATTGAATTGATATCAGATTGAACCACTTATAATATAGGGGTAGAGTATTCAAATTTTTGCGGTTCACCTGCGGAGCATGATTTTGACATGTTTTGACTCAGGCATTGTAGAACACAAATCCTGGATCTGACGGTTCCAAGACTTTCATGTCTTCAACCATCACGGAATTCGGGTCTGATAGACTTGCCCAGGATCTCTGCAAACACTACAGAGTCGACATCATTTGCTGGAAGCTCAAGGTCATCAGCTGGTCCAGTTGGCAAGTTCTGTCACCTCTGACGGCATCATAAGTCATAACCAGGGTACATAAATCCGGAATAACATCAACAACATAATGTCATCCGGAATAAAGTGGCAACGCCAAATGACAACAGAAACTGCAGACAATAACACATTAATTCTGATAACTCCTGTCAGTGTGTGGCTGTATTTTTTGTTTTTAACATTAGCTCATTAACCTGTAGAAAGTATTGTGCCACTTGTTGATGACAACCCCTGCAAGAACGACAATAGACCACATCATATATAATTCATATCATATCCACAGGTTATGGTTGAAGGCACACACGTATCAAGTTCAGGGTGGCTTTAGGTCGTAATCCAAGGGCAGGTCAAGCTTGTCACTGCTTGTTTGCCCAATCCGAAATGACGAGGACCGAGGACCAGGAAACTGGAACCCGATGAGGGCAGGTCAAGCTTGCATGGTTTCTTCTCTCACGGTGAAAGTTTGAAACCGAAGGGCCGCTGTCCCTGACCTTCTCTTACCCCTGCTCTCTAAGTCGTTTTCTGACTGAATCACTTCTGAGCAGCTCCTTCAGTGGAGAATGTGTGGACACTGTGCCTGCTCAGGTTCGGCCAGCTCAAGAAATCTGACAATTGCTTCTAGATTCTTGTTCCGGCAGCTGGATTATGTACAGGTCACTGACGACGCGGCGTGGAGAGTCTGTGGTCGTGAGCAGTGAGCACCAGCATAGGGAAGGTAACACCTCCATAAACTTATAACATTGTTGGAAGGTTTCACCAGTGGGAAGAAAGTGTTGTGACCTTCGAACCTGATTGGTGCATGATCAGCGGCCTTCGCTTGCAGGTGCAACAGGATTCAGATCCAATGACGCTTTATGAGCTGATTAGCCGGGATTCCCAATCCACAAGACTTCAAAGAACTTGGCTTCTTCAAAGTGTGGGCGTCGGAGACGACTGCGAGTCCGTCCCATTGCGAGTCTCTGAGAGGTTCGATTGGGAGTCCAAAACCCCGCCAAACCACACTAACCCCTTCGGAATTGGTTCATTTTCAAGGGTCAACCAGGCTGCCCTGGTTTTGACTCACAGTCATTTGTTTCAATGCATCGCTCTCTCCGAAACTCTACCAACACTCCGAACCCTCTACCAACACTGGAAGACCCCTCGTCTCCCTGTTCCACGGGGGACGGGACGTGACTGCGGCGAGGGAGCACGCGTCGATCCTTTTCACCTCCGGACGGTGCAGGCCGCGACGAAAACGACGACGGGGACATTGCCCGGTGCTCGACCGACGGGAGAAGCAGGGCCAATGGGCCAAGGGTGTGGGACTTACTGGACTCACCTGGCGGTAAACAAAGATGACCCTCTGTGGCCTCGCTCGCTGTGATGCTTTTGGGAGTCTGGAAATACGATTGCAACGTGTTTAGAAAGTTCGCATTGAGGGCGAGCGAGCACATTGTATTATCAGGAAGGTGGCTTCAGCTGTTTGATTTCACTGTGCTTGGACTTGGACTCCGTCATGAAGATTTTGGCCCGTAAAAGTCTAAACCTCAACACTGGATATGCAAACCTGCTCTTATGTGTGTTTTCGCCCAGAAATCATCCATTGCCTACCCACCTTGTGTCAACCTCTTCCTCAAGTCACGAAAGCTAGCCTTAGCTAGCTGGAGTTGCTCTTGCTTTAGCAAGTTAAGTGACGGGGTGGACGCACCTCAGAAACCTCAAATAATTGATTAAATCAATCTTATGGACCCCCCCCCCCCGCGGTTCGACTCCCCCCTGCGCGCGGTGAGCGGGACCACCAAGCAGCTGCAGCACACCAAGCATCTGCAGCGCCCAGCGCAGCAGCGGCAGCAGCAGCAGCAGCAGCACCAGCAGCAGCAGCAGACCACCCAGCGGCGGCAGCAGCAGCAGCATACCCAACGCCGCGGCAGCAGCAGCCGCAGCAGACCACCCAGCGCCAGCAGCAGCAGCAGCAGCAGACGACCCGGCGCCTGCAGAGCACCCAGCGCAGCAGCGCCCAGCGCAGCAGCGGCAGCAGCAGCACCAGCAGCAGCAGCACCAGCAGCAGACCACCGGAAGCCCGGCTAGCTTTCGTTCACCCCCTCTGGCCTCAAGTTTTGCTTACTTGAAATGAAGGATGTGTGTGGGACACCCGCCAAGCTCATGCGATGTCTCCCAGCACTTAGGACATTGATTCCACGAGAGATGCAGGATCGAGGTATTCGCTGTCCATTAGGCGCCATTCTGTGCTACGCGAGCCTGTCTCGGGGTATTTGGATGCGTTCAGCAGTTTGCACACACAGTGTTCCTGTATATATAATCTATTATATAATGCATGCTTGCAATACAATGGTGATCTGATTTTTGGGCGCCTTGACACTCCCTCTTCTGGAAAATGTCTCGACCGAGTGGAACAGACCATGGCGGTGTAGATGGTTTGCTGGTGTGCTTGGCCATTCCTGTGAGGGACATGGCTTCAGATGCTGTGACAGGCAGCTGCTGGTGCCCTAGAGCTTTGGTAGCTTATTCGTGGCGTATTTCAAAGCGAGACTGGAACATGAAGGGTGTCTCTTTTCGTGTTTATTTGGCATGAACAACATTGAAAAAACAGCCACCTTTGACTTATCAGTTGGAACTCCCACTGGAACGACCACCGCAAGCAATTTCAAGACAAGGGTTGTAATTACTGTAGTAAATTGGCCTTGGATTGTGCGTTTTGTTTTCGATTGGAGTGCACCTGTCTTTGTGTTGTGGCAAGCTGGCTAAGTATCATCTATGGTTGGGTTGTGGCAGTACTTGGATTGTGGATTGTTTGTGCAGAATGTATTCCAACTCCAACCAATTCCTAGGTCACAGCACAGACCTCCTTGTGTTTTGTGTGTAGGGACTTTTGTGCTGACGGGGCCTCACTGGATGGACTTGCAACACTCCTTAGCAAAAACACCGTCCCGTCACATCAACTGATATGGCCTGTGCCAGACGAACAAGATATGCGATGTGAACCCCCCAAACCAGACTCGGATGACCAAGTGATGCAGCCCGAACCCCCCGGAGACTGGGTGCGACGGCACCGCACGAGTCCTCGGCTCGACGAGTCTTCGGCTTCGACTCCCGACGCGCCCAGATTCCATGACCTCTGCCTCCCACCTGTCTCACCGAAGTTTGCCCTCGCACGGGCCCTAGTGCCTTAGCGAAAAGGACCACAGAAAAGGGGTCTGACAGACGGCCTTCGGGCGAGCGAAGGCGAAAGCAGAGCTGTGATTGGAAGGTGCAAGCAATCAAGACAAGGTGCTATGCTCTTCTGAAGACTAGCGGCTAGCGAGCTGCTTTCGTGGTTCAGGGACTACATAAAATGCAACACCTTGACTCGCAATCATAGATACATAATGATCCATAATTACCCCCAAAGATCCCAAAGAATCAAAGCAACAGATAACTTAAAGCATACAGAAAAGTACAGAGCCATGGAAGACCGTCATGACGAACTTGGAACCTTTTGGATTCAGAACGGCTCTATATACATGGTACCGGTTGATGGTGGCAAGACTATTCATGACACAGGTGAGCTGGGTCACTACCTGTCACTACCTCCCCTTCTCGAAGCCCCAGTCTCCACCATCCCTTCCAAGCCTGAGAACTCAGCTGTTTTGAGGATCCACTCTCATGCCAACATGGAGGAACTGGTCAATGTCGTCACCAACAGGCAGAAGAATCAGGAAATGGGTCAGATGTGATGTCTGAACATTTGGACACCCAAACTCCATCATCTTTCAGGATTCATTGGGAGGCAGAGGCTGGTTGTTTAGGCTGGTCCTCTTTTGACACCATATCCACTGAAGGTGTAGCTGTTCAAGAGCAATTCCAGTGTTTGACAGGATGTCACAGACCTGTTCGGTTCGACCAGGGGAATCTCCCTGCACCCCAAACACCATTTTGAACATACAGTATGCATCTTGAAGAACATAAGTATACAGTATGAGGCTCTAGGTTGCTCAGCGAGTTGTATAGAATTGCTCTGCCATGCTTTGCCCGTTCATTCTTGTTTTTGTGGCTCTCAACCCAGCGCTTCCCTTCAAATCCCAATGTCTCATTTTGCGTTTTGGGATGGACTATGATCATGATGATGACATGCTTCTGACCATGCTGTGTAATCATTCAGACAGCAGGAGGTCTTTCATGCTGAAGAGTATTGCGTTGGGGGCACCACTTAGGCGAAACTGCATGCAACAAGCTCCAGGCTTTTGATTCATGCGACGTCCTTAGGAGTGGAAAAACACATGGAGCACCGTAGTCGGGGCTTGACGGTCGTTGACGGACTTGCCACACCAGTTGAGGTATTTTTGAGTGGGGTTGGCACTGGGTCATCGGGTCATTCCGGGTCATTTTTCGTGGCATTCCCTTGTTCTCTACTTTAAGCACCAGTCAAGTGGGGCGGCACCGAACTTGGGGTGAAGAGACCTCACTGGCCCCCATTGGCAGCGACTCAGCGACCCTGTTTCAGGCGTGAGATGCTGCACCGATACTTAGCTGATGTGCGGGAGGCCAGAAACCATACGTGGCCGAAGCAGCGGATTCGCAATGCAGTGAGTCCACAGTGTATACAGGTCACTAAAATTCAGTAAAGCAGTAAGCTGTAGTCTACCTTCTTCCTTTTAGTTGGTGATCTGCCAATGATTCCCTTTGGGAACCTTCTGTGAATGTAGTTGTTGTTGGTCGCTTTTCGTCTGAGTGAAACGATTCCCTCAGGGTGAAGAACAAGGGAATCGGCCGGGCGAGTGCCTCCCAGCGGTTCGGAGACCGAGGGCGGCAGGGATTGGGGACCGAGGGGCGGAATCGATCACGTCATGTGTTGGGATCACCAGTTTTGAAGAGGTTTTGAAGCAATGAGAAGTGGGCCAGAAGGAAGATATTTTGGTATGGTAGCACAGAGACCCCCCGTCAGCCACCTTTAGGCAGGTGTTTCGAAGAGGTTATTTTCCAGAAACCATGCGATTGCATTTTGCCTTTTCTCGAGTCATCTTCATGACAGGAATGTGATGGGAATAGCCTGCTTTTGGACCGGCCCATCTCCAGAGCTGTTTCTGTCCGAGGCATGCCAAGAAAGCTTCAGCAGCAGGTTCGTGGGGGAATTCGTGTCACACTAGAATAGGGAGACCCCCCCTGTGGGAAAATATAGACAGACTATAGATCCATTGGTTGGGAGTAAAAAATCCTACCGCATACCTATAATTCACACATGTATACACATGTCATGACATATATATATATAGATTTATTTATTTATATATATATATGATATATATATATATATATTATAGGTTCCTTCTTCGATTCAACCAGGTTCGTTACAGCACCCATGCAGCACCAAAACCCTCCAACATGGGTAGAGTGGACGAAAAAGGGTGACCAAGGCAGGAACCAACAGGCCTGACCAGCTGGTCCCGCAGTCATGCAGGACCCACGGTAGCTTTGGTGCAGTGAGCTCAGAGTGGTGTTTTGTCCGTTCTCATATCATGAAGTCCTTTGACTTGCGATGATGTAAGTCTTATCTTGGTTTTCTTCAAAAGGAGGACCAGATTAAAACAAAAGAACATAAACATCTGCCTTCCTTTCACGCTTCCTGCATTCATCCATCTCGTGAGATGAAAAAGCAACGGCGCTCCGCCCGTCACCTGTGTCCCTTCTTCGAGGTCACAGAGCTTCAACGCCGACACATCGGACCGTACCGTATTTTTGTTTCGGATCGAACAGGTGGGAGTGAGAACTTCGGTCGTTTCGTTGGGGAGTGATTTCGGTCGTCATGAATCCTTGGAATTCTGATTGATGTCTATGATTTCTATGGTTCCGCTGTTGGGATGAGGCCACCGATTTGGACCGCTCAAAGTCACTCACAGTCAAGCGATGTCAAGCGCTGTGTACAACAAAGTCAGCCTCAGACTGGGTTGCCAATGCCACGCATTCCTCAACTTTTGGCCTGTGGGATAACTTTGCAAGCTAACCCAACGCCCTTACATAGGATCACGTAGGGCGTTTGATCACTCACTGAGAAGGAAGCCAGACATCATTTCACAGCTAGTTTTTCGATACCAAGCCAAGGTATACTATACTATATACCTTGGCTATCCTTGGCTCATATACTCAAAATTTTAGGACGCGCCGATCGGGTGGTTCGCGGCACCTCCTTTTTGATGTAAAACAGCTTGGAATTCGAGGATCAGGGCTGTTTTGTTGGTGCACGCAGTATTTGGGCAAGGTGGACACATTGCAAGGTTCATTTTTGGTGTTGAAGACCCTAAACTTCAACTCCAATGGAAAAAACACACAATGAAGCATTAGGTTCCTCGCATATATCATTACAATCACGTCACATATCATGTCATCGCTGACATAAACAATAACAAAACGAAACCATCCCTCCCCCGACCCCCACCCCATGTTAATCACACGACTACTCGATGACAAGTTCTTTGAAACCGATAAGTTTTATGATACCTATGGCCTATGACAGCATAACCACCACTCCCCACCCCCGATCATCTGGTTCGTGCATCACAAAACCCTGCGTGCACCAAAAACGATCCAAACACCCAATCGGACCATCAGGTGTAGCATCTGCACGCGCCGAACCATCCGATCGGACCCAATACTGTAGCAAAAACTGGTTGGCAATTGGCCAGGCGACGTGCTAGTCAAGTGCTTACCGGACAGCAGAATGATGAAGCAATTGAATGTTGTCCTGAGTGGTTTCAGGTGAACATTTTCTTAGAATCTTAGAATCGTGATAAGAATCATGATGCTGGAACCTTAGTGTTGAATGTTACAGATTCTACAGCTTGTTTTAACACCGTCTAGAAGGAGGTACACCCACACCGTTTGCGTGAACACCTGCGGATGTTGTCCATCAACTGGTTGGTCTCCACCTGCATTCACCTGCATGACCATGGTATTCCGTTTCATGGTTTCGTGGGTGTGTCGGAGAGAAGGACAACCTTCCATGTGTTTTGAGACAGCGTCGTTCTGCCCTTGGGCAACAGTACAGCCGCCAGTCACCAAGACTTCTACCAATTCATGTGGCACATCGCTTGATGAAAAGCTACCTGGAACAGAGTTGTGAAGCACATAGAAGCGAGTACCTTGTCACCTCATGTGAGCTTTGTATTATTTCAGTGCCTCTGCTCCTTTTTTGATGGGTGCAACAAAACTGGAGCTCAACCGAACCTGACGTTTTCAATGCTGTGGTGTCCAAGCGCAGGACAATATGAAAGGGCCTTGAAGGCAGGCCTTGTGCAGCATTGGATGTGAGAAGATATCCCTGAGATTCCCCAAGTTCAGTTGCTGCTCCGGTTGAGAGCCCATGAAAATGCTCGAAAACGATTTCAGGCGTTTCAGTTTGGTGCTTTGTCTCCCAATCAGTCTCCGTTCTATCGACTTGGGGCCCAAATCAGTTCTCTCAATTGTTGCCTGACACCCGGTCTTAACCTTCGATTCCACGTGTCTTTTAAACCGACAGGTGCAACAGAGTTCGACAGAGTTTTCGCAGAACGTCACCGCCATGGAATGCAGTTCATTCTTCATCCCTGGCAGGCTTTTCACGAAGGACGCATTCCGCTCTGTATCGAGCTGGTCCGGGATCCTCTAGTCCCGCCACAACGATGCCTATCAACACATGACTGACACATCCTTTCACCCTATTCAATCCTATTCATCTGGCCATTCATACATGGCCACCATGCAGGTTGTTGGACGTACTTGGTGTTTGTCATACCGACTCCCAAAGACTCGGTGATCGAAGCGGAAACATGTTGAATGTGCCCACCGGAGTTGTGGGCAAGGCATCAGCCAGCTGTAGAGTCAAGGTATAAAATCATATAACATCCGTTAAAATGGATGGTGACTTTATCGTGAATGTCCATTCCTCCATTGATCATGATTGATGTGTTTCAGGTTTCAAGGAGTGGAACCCAATCACCCAATCCATCAACTCCCGAATGCTGAACAGCACCCAGGTCCAAATGCTGCTGGCTGAGACAGACGATCCACCTGCCCAAGTCTTGCTGGATGTGGCGAAAGCCACGCTCAATGCGAGCGAGGCGCAGGAGGCGCAGGAAGAGACGCTGAAAGAGACAGAGACGCTGCAGCTCTAGAGCTTTGAAAGCGTCGCTTTTTCGCTGTGGGAGACAGCACGGTGCAACCGAACAGTGACCGTTTCACAGCATGGTATGTGGGCCAAGTCGGCCAAGTCAAAGGAATTGAAGACATGCAAAATGGCAAAAGGCGGTAAGAGTAAACGAGCTGTTTATATGATAGCGATACTATGTGGCACTACTCACGAAAGAGGGCACCTATTCAGTGCGATGTGTTTTGGGCTGGTTGGGCAATTGCTTGGACTGTTATGTGCATAGGAGGCTTCGCTTTACACCTCAGTTACAGGATGCTTATGGGTCCCCTTCTCTGGGCCTCTGACAACTCCAAGACAATCAATCGGGTGCATATTATGCACGGACAACAAGAGGAAAGAAACACATCATCGGTCCACATCGGTCGATGACTGTCTCTCTTGCTTGCAGCTGGCTTACCAATTTAAGATCAGCTTGAGCTATCCCGCAATCCCTGATCCCTGAAAGTTGCACTTTTTTGCGGAGGGACCCGGAGCTCGATTCATGGTGAGATCATGTAATCTTGTGGCTCAATGTTGATGGTCTTAGCTATTTGCCGCTTAATGTATTCATAAAGATGGCATTGGTCAACACATACTCATACCATCTCATACCGATGCCCTTTGCTGGGTTCGGATGCTCCTTCGTATGTCGCCACTGACAAAAAGGAATCACGATCGAATCGAGTTCAGCAATTGATGAAAAAATCAGTAATGCAAGGCATTCTGGGCACTCGCTGCTCGGAGTGGTTCATTGCTGAAATGTTCTTCACGCATTTCTCGCAGGCTACTATTTAAATTTGGCGTCAATGGCAAAGAGGACACATTGGACCACAGTGCCAGTACCTTCCATTTGTTGCTTTGCAAACTGAAGCTGTAAGCGAGATTGACATTTCCAGAAGCCGCTAGTGACTAGTGTTTGAGGCGCCTGCTTTGTGAGAGATGTTTGGTGGAAGATTGCATTTGCTTGGCAATCTTGATGATACGCATGAACTGTACAGAGACCACTTCTTGAGGAATATGGTGATGCTGTGAAGCCATGTGGACAGCGATAAGACCCATATAGTCCAAAGATGTCCAAATGCTGGTGGGTTTTCAAGCGCGGCCCAGACTCAACTGTGAGAAAGCCATACAGTAGATTTGGAGTCCCACAAATGCCACTTGTTTGTTCGGATGAAATGCCATGCTCCACAAGAGATTAAGCTGGAGGATGGCACCGAGACTGCACTCTCCTTGAATTCACTAGTCACTATGTTAAAGTAGGAGCGACTTCCTAGATGAAGCCCAACTCTGGGCATTGAGTGAATTGAAAGACACGATGTGAGGGAAGGAATGCTCACAAATACGTTTCAATGCATGCACGCCAGTGGTAGCACAAGACTTTGGCACAGGTAGGTCACAGTTTCGATTCTGACGGGACTAACAGACCAGACCAAAAGGGCGGACGAGGAGCTCAAACTGCTTGGGGCAGAAGGGAAGAGACAAAGCCAACATATTCTTACTGCGCTGGGACTGCTTATCTCAAAATGTCAAAGCATGTGGAAGGCAAAAGTCGAAACATGTCCAATCTCTTGCTGGCCATTTTTACACCTTGAGACTTGTCGCACATGCATCATCAGATCCAAGCAAACATCCATGTATCTTTGGTCGAGGACCCACTCATTGTAAATACTATAGAACTATGTAGGACTCCTCTGTCTGAGACAATCTGCCATCGAACCAGTCTTCCGGTGCCAGGCGACGGTCCTAGCTGTTCCAGGCGATCGAACACCGCTCGGGCGTGGCGTGTTGGCGGCGAGCCGTGTTGGAGCCATGCTTCCAAAGGTGGGTTCCAACCCAATAGCAAACTAAATAATTTATATATAATATATACAGCTTTGTTCCTTTTCTTTTTTCTTTGTTTCTAACAGCAATGGCCTCCACCCCAATAGCAATGGCCCCAATAGCAATGGCCTCCAACCTGATAGCAATGGCCCTAATAGCAATGGCCTCCAACCGCCTTAGAGCAATGGCCTTCAATCTGACAGCGATGGCCTCCAACCTACTGCCGATGTGCCTCCAAAGGGATAGGCTCCAACATTGACTTATAGACCCGTATGCCGCCGTGCGAGAGAGTTGCGAAGTGGTTCCCAATACTTCAGGTATGGAGCCGCACCATGCCACACCCATGTGGAGTTTGCTAGTGAAGCCCGTGTGTGAAAACTAGCTTTCTCTTTGGCTCTTTGACCCACCAATGCCGTGATCATCATGTGGGTCGGACATCGGCACGACGGTGTGTGGATGTATGTGGATATCTTGCACCTGCAAGTTGGCTCCGACTAGCCGTGAGTAGCTAGTTGTTTGAAAAATCTGACGCCATGCGCTTGCTGTGTCTCCTGTCTTTTCTACATGGCAGCTTGGAAGGGCACACGAAAGGGGCCGGTGGTTGTGTGTTTCTTTGCACATTGGCTAATAGTATGCTATAGTATTAAGTATATTTAGAGGGGCTCCTGATTTTTGTGCGAGCTTGAACTTGAATTACATTTTGCTTGGGGGTGTTAGTAAGGCTTAACAGCTGACACAGGGAGCATGTAACGAGAGTGCGTAAGCCTTTGAAAGTGCCTTTTTCTATATTTTCCTGCGTTCCCATGGAGCAACTGAGTAGCTGCTGAGTCCCAGAGTTGTTAGCTAATGTGAAGCCCACTGTTATCAAGCTTCAAATTTTGCATCCGCCCTGGTGTGACTTCCTAAAGATTTTTGAGTCGACACTGAGTTGACATCCCGCTCCCGGCTTGCATGGGTCCATTGGGCTTCCCGTCCGTCCGGCCATCTCGGACAAATTGGCACCAGCGAGACTTCACAAGCTCTGTGGAGCTCTGTGGGCCGGAGCGGTTGGCAAACATGAAACATTCCCCAAACAGTGTGGACACACTTAGGGGTTCTTAGGGGCCGGGATCATTTTTTCTGTTTCAATCCCGCGAACGGGAGCGAACATGCGGAGTGGCCCTAGACCTTTGCGGCTCAGGTCTTGAGGCCTCGCGCTCTTTGGCAGGGATGGGTGGTGGGCCCGAGGTGTCGCATTCCCTTTTTTATGGCATCCATGGGACTGGAGAGATACGTACATAATCGTACATATAAAATCAATGGGTCATGGGGTAAATGATGGATTCATGGATCTCAACTCTTCCCGTCCCATGAATGGGAACAATGTTCGCTACTAGGGGCTCCTATCATCGCTACTAGGAACAAGAAGCTACTAGTAGCTAGTTTGGCTTTGATTCTTTCTACATGCAACTGGACAGGACAAGTCGCTCCCAACAGGCCTGCTGGCCTGCCGAAAGTAGACGCAGGGTTCGAACACTTTTTTCATCTTTTTTCATTGGTGAAATCCCTCTCTCTGCCCGTAAGAAATTGGACACAAAACATCAATCCAGCAGTCATGGAATGGACGTTGCCAGCCAAATGACTTAGGCATTTCGCTGGCAGATGTGCAAGGCCTTTTCTCTCGACAAAGACTTTCATCAGACCAGGCCGCTTGAAGTGATCATAGCGAGTGACATATTCCTTGGATGGCAGTGATATTGAACGATTGTAGCCAGTCATGAACCCACTCGGATGGTCAGCGTCGCTGCAGGCAAGACACATACCACATCATACCAAACAAGTCAAAACATTTTGTGCCCCTGCCACAAGCAGCTATATGTATTAATAGTTTATACGCAAAAGATGATACAAGATGTACGGCAGTATATAAATATTGCTTAGTATTGTATCTTCTCTCATGGTCACCGTGCCAGACGTCGCCGGCGTGGCGCCAGGCTGTGGTGAGCAACAGATCTGTGACGTCCTTGGATGCGACGACATCCAAGAAGAAGGAGTGGGAACCAGTGGACGGTGTGGTTGGCCAGCCCGGATGGCCTGGCGCTTCCCTGGCTACTGAAATTGGCATGCACATTGGCTGTGTTGATTTGTTTGAAAGAGTCGAATTTGTTTCCTTCGTGGAACACACATGAAAAAACCACGAAACCAGTCAGTCTCAATTCCGTGATGGAGCGGCACCAGAATTCGCCAGAACCCCTCGCGCGAAATCCGCGCGGTACGCGAGGACACGGCACGCGGCACGCACCCGGCCTCACGCGGCCTCCCCGAACGACCCCGACCGCAGGAGAAGCATCCATGCAGTCAAGTGGTGTCGGGTGCCGAGGACCGAGAAAGGCGCGTGGGCCGGCAGGGTGGACATCCGGTCCACCGCTTTTCATCCACCTGGAGTGGCCAGTGAGAAGAGGGTGGTTCCACCGTTCCTCTAGAGGGGCCACTGGTAAGTGCGTTGGGCAGGACTCATTCTCATGAAGGAACCCCAGACTGGTTTCAGGGGTCACCACTGAAAGCACTTGACACTGTGGCAGGTCGCACTGGTTCGGTGGAGACTGCAAGTGTCCCGCAGGATATGTGGTGGCAACTTGGCTGGAACCGGCATGAAACAATTTGAGGCTTCGAGTCGAAACAAAGACCAGGACGGACCAGGATTTGCAGCAGGTACACTGGTACACAGACCATCACAGACCCTCTCAATTCTCCAAATTTTCAGGATATATACCATTCACCTCACACATTAGTTATTACTTCCATCTACTTCCGCATGGCCTGGTCATGCCTGGTCTCTTGGGCTGCACACCTCGCAACTTTGGGTGACCCGAAAAACCAAGCGCAGCACCCGCGGTCCGTCCCATCAGCGGACACCAGTGACTCGGTCACTGGTTTTCTCCACCAACAACGGCTGCTTCCGGACATCGTTGCAGGCTGGAAAGTCGTGGGAATGCAAAGATGCCTTGGGGAAGCAGAAGTTTAGCAGCAAGATTGGGCCAACGAAGTGCCACTGCCACTGGGGCCGAACACGGTTTTTGAGGGTGTTTGGCTCGAACTTCGGACTGAATAAACAAATAACGATACAGTCTATTTAAATGTAGATGGTCATCTCGGAGATGCTCCGACCGCGAGAATCAAGCTCCAAGTCTTATTGAGAATCCTGAGGAGTCCAGAAATAGAGTAATTAAATAGTCGAATGTTCTGAGTCCAGTTGATCCTTCGGAAAGGTTTTTCAGCTCACAAACTGGTGGGAATCCGTTTGAGGATCTTTGAGGTTAGTCCAAGGTTGGACATGTTGTTTTCAAGCATCTCATAGAGGAACGTGTACAGCCTTGCTCACGGAGTTAAAGGCAAGTATGAGATCTTTGCAGGTCCACTCAGGCAAAAGTGGTTTGACAAAGGACTAGCTAACAAGAGTTGCCTAAGTTCTTTTTTTTTGGGCGGGTAGGCCGTAGAGGTAGCTAGTAGTAGCTAGCAGCTAGGTAGCTAGTAGAAGAGGTAGCTAGTAGCTTATTAAGTAGTTACTGCCGACAGGACGCAGGATAGCGCTCGCACTAATGACTTGGTTCCTAGATATTTTGGAAACTTCAGTTTCTAGGAGGACCTGAGTCTGAACAGATTTTGCTGTCACCGTGCCAGCTGTATCTATCGCGTACAGCAAGAAGCTACAATCGAGAAGAAGGTACAGGGCACCGTGAGGCTTCAAACCCTTTCAAATGGTGTGCCGTCGGTCTTGGCAGCTGAGGTGCAGCAACCAGCGAATGCGAGAGTATGGTACTAGGCACTACATGTTGTCTCGTTTCTCTGGGAGTGAAGGTATCATGGGATACTCAGTATCGACCATGTTCCCTGAGAGGCCTCACAGGGTCCCCTGTTTTCGATTTTGGACGATTCGACTCTCACAACTTTGCAGCCATGAGCCTCTTCAGAGCAACGACTGTTGAGTTGGGGTAATGGGAATGGGAAGGACCGGTAGTTTAGTGAGAGTTTAGTAGGAGAGAAGCACGCACGGAGAATCCCTGCCGCACAATTTATGCAACCTCGTTCAGGTGCCAAGCAAAGGAACTCCTACAAAAAGAATCCGGACAGGCGCAGTGAGTTGAAGACTTGCAATTTGTTTGTGATGAGCTGTGCTCCAACAGCCACTGTGCCGTGACAATTGATACTGTTCCATCCTGTTCTGGATCAGCAGGCCCTGCAAGTGTGAAGACCACGACTTTGTTTTGGAGGGCAAGGTGCCCGCCTGCAGGATTTTACCGTAGTATATAGATTTGCTCTTTTCAAGGCGCAGTTGCACAGGTGGTGAAGCTCTTAATTAATATTAATTCTCTTAATTAATATTAATTCATATTAATTCTATTTAATTCTATTCCTCGTGAAATGCACCCTTCTGATCCCAGTTAGGTGCAACGGCCCATGAATGGCTCTTGTTTTCCGAGCTTTCAGGATGAGATGGTGTTTCCACAGCGCTTTTGCTGATCTGAACGGGTATTCCTGGTTGTTACCCGATCGCAGGCAACCGCCATGACACAATACTTCCATTCCTTCCCGAGGCGCCGCAGTGTGCAGTCTTCCTTGGAGAGCGGTACTTCCCCAACACTTTGCCACCCCAGGTAGCGACTGGGGGGTGAAAGGCGTGTTTTCGATCGTGCCAGTGTTCAATCGTTAGGTCACCTGTCAGTCGTGGCGTATTTTTATGGCAAAGATTAGCGGCTGTGGCAGTGTCTCAAAAACCTGGCACCATCCAAAGTAAAGGAAGAAAAGACCAAGGACCAAGGCGAGCAGGTCTTTGGGTCTCTTGAATTATGTAAGCCAGACCAAAACATAGGGTGTAGGTCTTTAACCCGCAATGCGGGTGACCGTATGCCGCGGCTTTTGGAAAACGTTGGCAGTCTTTACCAATGGGAGACCAAATGATCTCATTGGTGAAGTAATCAAGCTTACTTGACTTGATTTCAGTTTAAACATGTTTGCATTGGATTCCCTTAGGCTGCTGTGCCGGGAAGCATACTGTAGCATCTAGATTCTAGATCCAGAATTTGAGTAATGCAACAATCCTGCATTCAGGGATTCAGTTAGAAGCATGGGGATACTGCAAGGCCCAGGGGTTGGACACCTGTTGCTTTTCTTCGGGAGATTTGGTTGCAGAATTCCGCGGAGGAGTGCTATTGCCATCGAGCGAATCTCGTTGAGTATGACTGCAGTGAGATTGCACATGGAGCAGTTGAGACGGTCCGCAACTCAGTTGGTGGTGCTGAAGCGTTTGGAGCTTGGAGCTCTGAGTCATAACTTCAGGAAGTCTTAGCTTGGGATTTGGGATCAGTTAAGGCAAGAGACTCAAGACACGTGAAAGACCAGGCGTTTCAGAAGACAAGGCTGTCATCCCAGGAGGATGCCTAATGAGACTATTGACAGAGGCAACGTTTGGAGTCACGTTCCACAAAATGAACAAACATGCCCCCACAAAGAGTCATGTTGATCCATCAGTCCAGTGGACTTTGTGTGAACGAGGCAAGAGGCCCAGAAACGTTTGCCGTTTCTAAGGGGTAAGACATGAAAAGAGCAGATATACCCTTCCTCCTTCCAACAATCATGAGAGTGACACAAGATTCATTTCCTCCACCAAGTCGGTTTGGTGTGGAAGCATGCGCAACCAGTAATGAATAACATGTTTTAGTTTTTGTCAATTGACTGTTACTGCCTGTCAAGTCAAGTATCAAGGACAAGCAGCAGAAGAGATGCATTTGCCCGGAGGGCCTCTTCTTGGGTGGTGAAGATCAACAATGCAAGGACTTCTATGGTGCGCATATCTTTCCCAAGAGGTCTGGACGGGGACCATGCACGGCCGCAGGTGATGGATGCATATGTGATATGCTGTGACATGTCAAGTAGCTTCTTGATCCTAGTAGTAAGGCCAGGAGCCCCTAGTAGCGTCCTTGCTCCTAGATTGTCAAGTTACACGTGGGTGTGCTCTCAGAGATTTTGTGCGCTCTGACACGGCAGGTTAAAGCCAGGACTTTGTACTTGCAGCGCAAACGCCCGCCCAGATCATGGCAGGGGAAGTGGATGCCTGGCAAAGGGATGATCCAGCTGTTGCTGTAAGAACAAGCATACTTGATGAATCTTGATGACAGTACTCTATACTATATACTGTCTGGATATTTGGAGCAGACTTAAAATGTCGGGTTGGCTTCAAATACATCTGGATGTTCATTGACTTGCACCCTTCTTCCTTCGAGAGAACCTATCATGTTGACTAGACCTTTGTACTTGTATCTGTCGCCTAAGCCAGGGATTCGTTTCTCAAATGTCAAAGGGGGGATCACTGGATCAAGATGTCCGAGCTCAATGAAGACGATACTCAAAACACGCCCAATGAGGGTCTTCAAATTTCAATGTTTTACATTGGCAAATTGATGAACATTTGATGCATTTGTACCCATATCCCTGACCAATTGGATTGGCCTAGGAAAACACCTGGCCATGGCAGTGCTGCCTCTCTTTCTGCTTTGGTGGATCTGAGCCCGCGCTTTTCGGGCGTCGCAAAAAGCCGCGACGGGTCGAGCCAACCGGTGGGACGAGCTCGGGCAAGTTCAGGCTTTGGATGATTGTGAGTATAATTAGCCTGAGCCTATTCAGAATAGGTGTGAGATCAGGGGTAAAGAACGGGTTTGTCGGAATTCTCAAACTGCCACACCCTTTCATTGACACTGAACCGTGGACCTGCTCTCTCAACATGGTTGCATGATGCACTTCCACGGTATTGCTTTCAGTTTGTCAGATGCATTTTTCGGGGTTCATTCTGACATGAGTGTGCATGACTTGTGCAGCCATCGGCTCGAGTTGGCCTGGCCGCCAACACATTGAGCTTTTGCATCGCGAAAAGATCGTTGCATCCTCGACCATCTCCCAACCATCCTTTGCCACTATCCCATCACCAGTTTTTCTGCCTGAGATTTGAGCGTTTTGGATGCTCACTCTTAGTCACGGGAATGCCATAGCAGATTTTGGACCCTAGTTCAAAGCAAGACAACCTGAGACCACCGTTTGTGCCGTTTGTTTTGTGGTTTTACAGGCCCATAGTTTATGAGTGAAGGATTTTCGAGTCTTAAGTCGGTTTCCACACGTTGAGCATGACATGTAGACCACCGGTTGGTCTGCATCCCGTGCCGCGATGTGTTGCTGCCAGAGTTGTTGCTTCTTGCACTCTTGTTTTCCACATGTTATCTTTAGATTTGTCAGATCCTGATATCAGATAGATCTAATGAGCATACATACAGCATTATCACTCCAGGCCATCCCGACATGACAGGAAAGCACTGCCGGAAGAGCAAAGACAGCAGGAGTAGCTGGATTCGGCCACCCGCAGATTTCTGGAGCTCTGGCTTTCAACCGCAGGCGGTTAAAAGAAGTCAATTCATTCGGAACTTAAATGTTTGCAGATGATTTTTGTCTTATTGACTCCTTGTCTGCACTGTAAGAGCAGGACACGACTGCCACCGTGGTCGTGGGCACGTGCTTTGGCTCTGGATGGCTCGTCATCGCCGATTGCGTCGCACTGTGTGGTTCGTCGTCAGGACGATGACATTCAAATGGCTGTGGGTCTTGGCATGTCTTGGCACCAGGCTACGGGGCTCCTGGCATCGCTACTAGGAACAAGAACGCTACTAGGAGCAAAGGGCATCGCTACTAGGAGCAAGGACGCTACTAGGGGCTCCTGGCATCGCTACTAGGAGCAAGCTACGGAGGTGCAGGGCTCCAGGTTTGGATCGCCGAGACCACCGAGTTCTGCGCGCCCCAGCAGTTCCCGTGCAGGTACGACGGAGGTCTTTTGGGCTTTGGTCTGGAAGATGGCGCACGGCTCCACAGCCGGTCAAGCACGGAGTCATCCGGGTTGTCAGGTACCCAGGAAGCGAGGGTCTCGACTCTCCGGATGTTCGGTGAGACCTGTTGATCCTGTTGGATTCTTTCAGTTGTCGAAAAGAGTACATGATTCCGATGAATCCAACGGTTTGTTGAGGCCTGTTAGGGCTGCATGTTGGAACCTCTTCGACTTCGTCAGTGCAGCTTTGTATAGCTTTGTTGGTTCGATGCTGTTTGGCTCCCCACCAGCATTTCGTGGAAAGATGTGGAAAGGGCTTCCATCGTGGGCGGGTTGTTTTGACGACCGCCAGCATGTACGGGCTACAGGGTCCAATGTTGCCTCGAATCACGCCAGACTGCCAATTTGCCAGGAACCAATTTTTTTTGAACATGAGAGTAAGACTGAGTTCCATTCTCCTACTTAAGGCATCTTAAGGCGAAAAGGCTTCCTATCTGGAGCACAAAGGGTCTCGAAGGGATTCGAAGGGCATGTGCAGCAAAAAAACACACAAGTGAGTCACGACCAACACCCTCAAATGCATAGTTCAGTTGGAATTACAACCATCCGGTATCCTGTAATTAATAGCTTAATAGCCTTTCTACCAGGTTTTGGCCCTAGCACATGTGCTGAGTTCACAGAGATTTGGAGCCGCAGAACGGTCAACCAGGCGCAGCGATTCGGCTATGCACCCCATGTGGGATGCGTCAAGGCATTGCATTGTACTCAGGCAGGGGCCACGGGTAAAGGACCAAGGAAACCCAGTGGAGGACGAGGTTTCACGGGGCTGATCAGTGGAAGCAGCATGAAGCAATTTTTATCATCTTTTTTATCAATGTATAAAAATTATGTACCAGGCATTTGATGCCAACACGTTCAGGCAGTCATTTGGGACCAAGGTGCAATCAAGGATGACTACGGACCTAGGTGACCAAGGTGGAAGGATAGCTCGTTGTTGTCTGTGATGTCCGAGCGATCACATTGTGGTCACCATTCGGAAGACTCAAAGAGACGTCGTTTTGATACCCTTTGATCCAATTTGGGACCGTGGTTCGCTTGGCTCATTTGTAAATTTGTTTCCATGAGCAAATTCTCGTGTTGGTTGGAAGTACTGTCCGAACATGAACACCCATAAAAATGACGGTGGTTTGCAATGGACACCTTTTTACCAAGAACATGCACCACGGACTCTGGATGTGTTGCAATAGCTGACCGTTGATGTTTGACTGGCAGGATGGCAAGCTGGCGACTGGGGCCACGGACAATGCTGCAGGGAGTGCCTAGTGTAGCAGCACACACATACGCAGCTTCCTGTGGGTCAAAGGCACACCCATGGCCCATGGACAATCTAATTGTGGTATAGTACATGATGTTATTTTGCTCTTGGACTTTGCCGAAGCATCTGTTCTTTCGGGTTAAAACCGTCGCAGCCCACTCCGATCACCTATCATGCGTGATGGTCTTTTCATTCGAGGTCCGCTTGTTCGACCTGGCCAAAGGGGTCGAGATGGGCGAGCTTCAAGAGCACGAGGCTGGCCGCATCCAAAGGATGCAATTTGGTGTTGTTCCTCGTGAGGCAATAGCAGAGTTGTCCCATAGATCGAGATATTATTATAAGATGCTTTTTTGTGTTCAGTGGATTCAGATCTACATTTGTTTTGGGGCTACTGTCTCAGACATTACTAATGTGTATGCTTATGTTGCGCCAGAATATGAAGCTTGAGCAAAACCAACAGAAACAAAGGCAGAACACAAAAGGACAAAATAGGACCAACAAATAGTGAAAATAAGACGGTAAGGGTGTCCCCAGTTTTCTTATGTTTTCTCGATTTGTGTCTATTTGTTGTTCAATTTGTTCCTATTTGTTTCCTAATTCTTTCCTAACTGTTTCCTATGTTGTTCCTATTTTGTTCGAGGATTCTGCCGAGATTTGCAGGTTTTTTTTTTCATCAGCTGCTTCTGAGCTGAGACAAACTCTGGCTTCTTTACTTTTGAATTTTTGTAATATTCCTGGTTTATGTTTTTTCTATGTTCCTTTCAATTACTTTCCGTTCAATTGTTTTGACTTTTTGCCTATTGTTTTATTTTGATCGATCCCAGTGAAAGTTTAACTTCCACAACCTAAGCATATGCACATTATTAATATATATTATATACTTGAAAAGTGTGTACCGCGATCCAAAATCGACATTTACATCGATTGCCGAGTAGTGGTTTGCCACCAATCACCCTGCAATTGTCAACAACATCATTAACTGTCCAATGTTACAGGTTGCCACATCATAGAAGCCAAAGATCGAACCAATCCTCCACATTTGTAAATGCATGTATATACGTAGTTTCAATATATATATATGATTATATATGTGTATCTATAAATACATACAATGTAATAACAGCTTCCATGTTAGTGTAACCTTAAAATCAGTTTGCTCAGCTTCGCCACAACTTTTGAAATGTAGTCAGCCAACATGTCTCCGGGTAGGAATTCTGCATAAGTTTTGCGAGAAAGTCTCAGAAAAGGAATGTCAGCGTCAATGAAAGCGCATGCGGAGTCTCGCAAGAACTGCTACGTCAGTCTTTCAACCAAACTTGTTTTGTAAAGGAGGAGAAAGGGAGAGTGTTCGACGCAGCATCACGCATTTGTCAAGAAAACCTTTTGCTACAAGGACATTGACCTGGCATAATTAGTGAAGCAAGTACCTGAACTGTCAAAGAGCACCGAGAACCTGAACCTGTGAAGCCAGACCGCATATCAACGATTACACTTATATATCTTGATTGAAGCAAACTTCCGGTTCGTTTGACATGCCGGGTCTCTCTACCACCGGCCTGTTTGACCGGCCTGTCTGGGATCGAAACGTTTGCGCGGCAGGACTCGGTCGCAGCAGTGCAGTTCTGGGGTCCCAGCCTCATCACTGGCAGCAGCGATGGCCAGGTTTTCCGGGGAGGATGGGGAGACTGAGAAGACAGGGTGTTGCGCCATTGATATCCATCGTTGGACCATATGCGTGGAAGAAAACGGGACAGATTGAATGCCAGCAATGGGCATTGTTCAGCACAGGAGCATCCGTTTTGATAGCCTTGAACCAGTAGTCTAGGGTGGAATGTAGTGGAATGTTACACTGTTGACGGGCTCAGCACGTTATGCCTTCGTTTTGGCAGGTGTGCATTTGGCGCTGCAGCGACTATGAGTGCAGCTGCCGCCTTGACGAAACCAAACCCTGTAGATCCCTGCAGAGTGTTTCACGACGGTACGAGCAAATGCTGAGATGTTGAGAGGGCTATATATATATTACACCTTGGTTTTCGGAGTATGCAAAGGATGAGTCTCAGCACTGTTACTAAGTGACTCACTGGGATTTGAGCACAATGCACAATGCCATGAATGGGGCAGTGACTTCGGCAGTGAGAGAACCATTTCTAAGATGAGAATGATGAGAGATGATGAGAGGTTCTGCTGCTGTAGTGCTGTGCCAGGCTTCTGCTGAAGTTCCGCGGTCACAAGGCCGGCCACGGACGCTGCTCGACGTCAACAGATACTCGTTGACTCCCTTTTTGTGCAAAATCATCCAGCACTATCGGGTCCACTTGATTGATTTCCAGCAGATGCCAGTCTGGATTGAAAACTAAGGTCTGTAACATTGGGTGTTAGGGAACCAGAATTGGGAATTCCGGCACATGGATGGAGACAGCCTTTGTTTGCAGGACACCCAGATTCCTGGTAATCCTGGTTTCTTGTAGCAGGATTTGCCGGTCATGAGAGATAGATTTGCCAGGTGACCAGGTTCAAGATTTTGCATGAGTTTTCCATATGTTTCCCTTCACATGGAATCCAAGAACATGACCAGGGGGGACACGTTGGGCAGGTTGGGCCAGGCTCCCTGACATGCCAGGCCTCTGTGACATGCCTGGCTGCAGGACACCCAAGCCTGACGAACATGATTGGGACATTGCCTTGCCTTTCAAGCCAAGGTGTTGATGCAACAAAACTGTGAGACCTGTACAACATGGAAGGGTGCTTTTAGTTTGGAATCCTTGACATTGCAGAGTCCTGAACCGTAAACCTGTGTAAACCTTTGCTGAATCTCCCTTGGCTTGGGGAACACCAACTCAGGTCCACCCCTCTGGGCGGATGATGGCCAGCTTGCGCCTGAGAGACTTGAGGTTTGGTCTGTGTGCAGTGGAGCCAGCCAGGAGACAGGCCCGAGTTCCGACAGTGTCACGCGACCTTCCCCAACTTAGACGCAAGCGCAAACTGATGATCCCCAACTTTGTGGCTGGTTTCGCTCATGTCCTCAATTTTCCTCATGGGAGCAACTCCCTGTGACCCAGAACCAGCCAGAAATACTTGTTGCATTTTTTTTGACAAGCTTTGTATGACCCCAATTTGGGGAAATTGCAAGTGTTGCAGCGATCAAGGTGCTGGCAGAGATCAACGGATCCAGCTCTGGGACACTCAGAGCTGTTTCGGCTTGGGCCGGTGTGGCGTTGTTGGTTGGGCCTCACAATCTTTTCCCTGATCATCCATGATTTGTCCCTGATCATCCTGACTCAGTTTCCACAGATCCCAAGTTCATCCAAGTTCCAAGATTATACTATCAATGACCATTGATGAACATACACTATACATGATGTATCATATATAATGCCAAGGAACAAAGGGCTTCGGTGGGAGTTCTGCGGGCGAACAGGTCATGTGAGACCGTCACAAGGAACACAGGTTGGTTGGTCACCGGTTGGTCCTTCGAGACCGATCCACATTGCCATGATCCACATGGTCTAAGGAAAAGACGCTACTAGGAGCAAAGGGCATCGCTACTAGGGGCTCCTGGCATCGCTACTAGGAGCAAGGACGCTACTAGAAAAAACATTCACATCATTTCAGACATAAGACCCAGGACTGAGAATCACAACCTCTACCAATGCGTAGAAGAAACGGGTTAGATATCCCCTGGCCATCCTGTGTGGATGCAAAGCTGAGCTGGCTGAGCTGGCTGATTGTGTACATCATGACCCTTGCACAACCAACCTGTTTGTATTATTGGATCAATTATATATAAACTCCTATCTCATCTTGCAGCCTTTTGCAGGATGCAGGGCCATCCTATGATCAAAACATGTCTCAGTTTTGGAGCAAATGTGCGGTGAAACCGACGTCACTTCGCCAGGTCTCGGCTTCCAAACGTCCCATGGCACCATGCCTGAGCCTTCTTTTGCTCGTCAGGACTTGACCCGTGGCACCTCCGCGGCACACCTGTCGGTGCTCGAGGCCGTGGAGGCGTGGGGGACCTGCACGATGAAGTTTAGGGCCTGACTCGAAGGACGGGAGAGTGCGTTGATTCTCGAGCCCTGCAAAAAGCAGTTTCAGAGTCAGAGTTTGTAGATTTTGCACCAAGTTTTAGGTCGTGGATGTCAAGTCAGGTCCTGATGGACGGCACACTACTATGGGCTACAGAATCTCCTGTACCGCGTGCCGAGCGCGACACGAAGCTATGCAGGATTTGTTGTCGGTTCTATTTGGATGATTTGGGTGAGTGCGGAATTGAACTGGAGTTATATAAGTTCATGGTCTTATCAGGTGAATCATGGCCCCCAAAACGCCACCAGTCGGCACCCAAGATGACCAGGTCATCACCTCGAAAAGGGTTGGCAAACAAAACCCATTGACTCGACTCTCATTCACCGTCCTGTTCAAGAGAACAGATCAACATCAACCAGAACCAAACACCAACACCCCAAGAAGGCCGGCGTCCCAAAGCCAAAAAAAAACATGGCCATGGAAGAATCATGAAGAGAACCTTGCAGAGTGTCTCCCCAAAAACACCTCCAGGATCCTCCAGGTGTTTCTCATGTCCTTTTTCTATTTGTCTCAGGCCTTGGAGTGGTCTCCGGACGGCCAAAGCATCGCCGCGTTGAGCCCACGAGATCTGGTCGCGGTGGAGGTGGGGCGAGGACGGAGCTGGAAGGTTTTTACGAAGAACACAGGAGGGCGAGGACGATTGTAGCATGAAAAATACCCGTGTGGTATCGCTATATGTTTTCCTGTAGGTGGACCACCGTTATATATATAGTTCATAGGTGTGCTCTTACAGGGCAGGTTTACCTATAGGACCTATAGGACAGGATTTCATAAGTGTTTTACATGTTTATGTTGACATGTATGATAAGGATTTTATAAAACCATTCATTTTTATAAAATCCTTGTGGTGGATCCATTGTTTGAAGACCTGGACATCAGGAATTTATACTGTAATTCTTTCCCAGTATAACTATACCCCAGAGGCACAGCGTCATCACGGGCAGATGTAAGATCTTGAAGATCTTGATGAACAAAAAGCACCTCTTTGGATTGTATAACACCTGTTCATGTGCGTTCAAGAGTCTTCGAGTTCAGACTGCAAATTTCTGCAGCTGCAGACGGTTTGAATTCAGAATGCCGGTGGCCGTGGAGACTAGAGTCCTCGGGTGGGCGGTGTTCACGGAAGGCGACCTTCCACTTGGACACCACCTTTTGCTCACGGATGGCCAGCGTGGGTGCTTGAACCACTTCTTGTTTTATATTTGTTTATTTACTCTATTGTTCTTAGTCCAGCAGGAATTTATAAACCTCAGCGTTTTGAGCCCGGGGAAGCCCATCGAAGATAGGCGGGCTAATTCCTCGGGATTCGATTTATAGGCGCACAGGATTTTATAACACCTTCAGTTTTGAATCACTGGATGCATAGGACAGCATTTCATAAATGCCCAAAACCCTATTGTCCCCAGGGATTCTTTATACAATCCCGTGGTCCAGGGGGCCTGCACTACTCACGGGTATATGAAAGCAAGATGCAAAAATAAAGACTTATAGGATAGATGAGATCTTCCTGGAAGTTCTTAGGTGATTTGATTGGGGGATGTGAGACAATAGAAGCATCATGAAGCATCATCCATGGTGATTCAAACTGTAGACAGGGTTCCTGGTCGGTGGAGTAAGAGGCTTTTGGTTTAGTCACTAGGTCCTTCCGTTGCAGACATCCCCGCAATTAGAATGCACCTCTGCCAGAGTCGAACAGACTGAGTCGACCCATGCATGGCCCATGCCTCCACTTGGGTGGCCGCAGGTGGCCTCCAATTCGGTGGCATCATTCAAAGATCCTGCCTCTGCCAGCTCCTCAGGGTCAACTGAAGTAGCTTGCATTTGTTCAACATTTGTTCAACCTGGCCCCACCAAAGAGTTTCTTCACTTCTCTCCGAACCAAGGCCGGCTTTATGCGTGTGAGCTTTGCCGGCAACTTAGCTTATCCTTTCCTTTGTCTGGGGCCAGAGGATCTTATTTGCTGACTGCTCACACCACAAATGCTTGTGCTGAGACCGCAGTGGCTTGGTTGTCTTCCAAAGTGTGCCTTGCTCGGAAATTGGCGGATTGGAAACGACCCTGAAGACTCATCCAATGAACAGATGGGCACCAAGGGCCTTTTAAGCAAAGTGATGCGAGCAGTATGTAGAACCCTTTTGTTAAGATCTTTTTATATAATCCTTTTTACATATCAGGGCACTGGAATTTGTTGTTGCACCCCATGCCAATGGAAGGCACAAATCCACTTTAAGGTGCAGATAGATGGGTTTAGATCAATCACCGGCTTTGCTACAGGGATTGCTTTGTCTATTTTTCCGCTGAATTTGCCCTGTGAACCAGGCTAGCTTTGGGTGATGGCCGTGGACAAGTGCAGATTTTTGAGAAAGAAGGGGAAGCCTTGACTGAGGCGCAACCGTCAACATATTTGATATATTTGATGACATTGTGACATTCTGGCACACTCTGTTTACCTCTATAGTATGGTGGCATGAAGGACTGACAAGGAAGCCTCGACAGAGTTTTGATGTCCTGTCGAAAACAGTAACCCTGAAAGACAAGCAAATGGTTCAACAGTTGCCAGCGAGGGTACATCTTTGCCTTCTGTCTAGGGAAACCTGAATTGGGTTTGAGACCAAGGTAAGGCCCCGTTTAAAGGGGACCTTACGGGATTTACCTTCCTGTGTTCATCTCTTGGTTCTTTTAATTAGCATGACTTTGCTGTTGTTTAAGCTTCAAGGCTTTGTGTCAGCTACCAAAAAGGGCCGCGTTATTCAGCCAGCTCGATGGTGCCCCACACAGGTTTGCAAAGTGCCTCGAGATGGTAACGTCACCGGGAGGATCAAAGCCCTCATCAAGGTGAATGCAAGGCTCATGGTAGGTACTGCTGGCCATACTTGGTGGAGTCATGCAAAGGACTAACAGAACAGTACTCAAGTTGAGCATGGAGCATTTTGGAACTGATCTGCCACAGTGCTTAGAGCATGATCAGCTGTCACCTCAAATAAAAATCTGACATGTGAAGTGTGACTGACCGACCACCTGAATATTGATTGGTGCACCTGGCTTTCTATAGATTTTTTAGAGTCTACAGATTCCCAGCGAAACACGATCAGAGGCAACTTACCAAGGATGAGCTTGAAATAAAACAAGTACAACGACTCGCTTGGTCGTTCCGAGCCAGTCGTTATTTCATTTGGCAATGCTGTCACTTTGCCTCACGCCAGGTCTCAGTACTGGACTGGTCGAGGCTTGGAGAGACCCATTGGTTTGACACGCATGCGGTTCTTGCCAGTGCTAACCAGGAGCATGGGTCTTTAGCATAGAACAACGTTTGTGCATTGAAAGGGGTATATAGTTATATAGTTCAGGTCAACATGTTTCAAATCCTTCGAACCACATTTCGGGAGTAAAGGGTATATATATATATATCGTCATAAGACCCGATGTCTCTTCAGAACTACAGGCCTGTGGAAACAAGAACACATGTACCACCAGCTGATTCTGTTTGAGCCACAGGGAAGGTCTACAAGATTCTACAAGAATTGGTGAAACAGATCTTGGGATTTGGTCGTTGCGTCGTTTTGAATGGAACGACGGGTCGTAGCGACTTAATCCATTTCAATCCATCAAATCTCGAAAGCTTGGAACATCCGTCCCACGACCCCGTACCCTTGCCACCGGACAAGTCCCCGGAAGAGAAGTCTACGCCAGAAGTCGACGCTCCTTTCGATGTTTCGAGACCTTTTCAAGACACAGAATGTTTTAGACGCCCTGTCCTGACTCGCAGGTGTGGAGTCTCGGAGACCTGAAGGCTCGCTGCGACGCTGTGCGACGCTGCGACTGCCGTGCGACCACCGTGAGACTGTTGCGACTCATGGGGCTTGGAAGGCGCTGTCGGTGGCAAGAAAGAGTTGTTCCGGTATCCCCCTTGCAATTTCATCTAGGAAATCAGCCAACCCGGGTTGTCAAAAAGCAGGCCATTCTTTAGAGTTCACCATCCATTTTTTAGAGTTCACCATGCATCTTTTAGAGTGGCAACGGAGTGTGATTCTTTAGAGGTGCACTTTTTGCCACACGCATGTACTGGTTGTGTGTTGTTGTCATCGTGGATTTGTACCAGGTGTTCTGATTCTTTAGGGGGAATCCGGTGTCACAGGTGTGTGCGCACTGTGCTCAACGTGTTCTGATTTTTTGGGGCCAGTGCTCAGTATGTGTTGGCAGAGTCCTGATTCTTTAAGCTGACATGTTGGTATGGGCACTGTGGATTGAGGATTCTTTAAGGTGGCAGGTGGCAGGTGGCCTCCTAAAGAATCTGACAGTCCAAGAGGGAGGCCGAATTGCAAGGGGGATGTTCCGGTATGCTTCCACCTAAACCACCCTGCACAGCACAACCTGCAGACTGGAGTTTGGTGAGTGTGATTGGATTTGATTCGCTGGCGGTGCTAGATTATGGAGTTGCAGATGGGGAAGCGTTGTTGTTGCAATTCTGGCGTGATTGCAACAATGGGTACGCACTTTGGGGTCAGTGACGTCCTCTCCTTTGAAGACTGGTTGCAGGAGCCGGTACCCTTCAATATGCAAGGCTTGGAGATAGAGATAGTGGGAACGACCGGTTTTCCTGTGCATCGTGGGCCGTGTCCAGTTCTATATTATATGGTGAGAGATATAGTATATATGTTTCAATATATATATATATATATTCTCTCTCTCTCTTAATATAATTGTATATCATATGCACACTATGTATTAACTTTTAATAACATAAGTTCCTTTTCACGTGACCGGAGTGCCAGGCAGGTAGCTTTACACTGCTTCGCGTGGTCGACACCAAGCAGGGGCCCCAGGGACCCCCTAGAGATCAACTCGGGTGGCGCGGCATGTGGCCGCGGCACACGTGTCCTGCGCTGTGCCCTGTACGGACGTGTATCAATTGCGTAAATCGGTGTGCTTGAAGAAGTACAGAGACAGGACCTCTCATCATACTTATATAAATGCCTTAAATCTTCCAGACACCCCGACTCTGTGAACAGAATATGTGAACTGTGTCCATATCAATATTTGATGTAGTCCCGGTAAGATTTGCACATGTGGACCCAATTGACCCAATCACTGAGGAGCCGCCTCACCTGTATGACCGTTTGGGCGCCGGGCCAGGGCAGCCAGGCCCTTTTGCACAAGTTTGTTTGAAGGTTGGGAGCAAGTACTGAATTACTGTAGTCAGTTTGGAAATGCTTGTCATTTGTTGATTCTCCATACAGCTCTTGTGGTTTCAGGTTGGGTGGGCATGCTCGGCAAGTGGCATGTAAACGAGTGAGGTCTTACTTGGGCCTCTCAAGTGTCTCTTCCAGCATTGCAGGTGCTGGAAGACAAGCACCCCAAAGGCCAGCGTGAAAATCGGCTGCGAAAGATGCGCGAAATTTAAGACCATTTATATAAGTCATATGGTGGAACTGTATTTGACCGGCAGCAGGTGCTGCTTTGCAACTTGCTAGCACCAACAAGGGTTCGCGTCATGTTTCTCTGGAGGCTTTTGCATGCCAAGACGAATTGACTCGGGCCTCTTCGGCTCCTCGTTGTAGGTGTTAGGGCTGAAGATCTGCGCAGGAAAGAGAACGTCTGGCGGTGAGAAGCCCGTGAAGAAAGAGCAAGTGAAGCAATCGGGAAAGCCTGGTAAGAAAAAGCCTCAGAGGTCCTGAACAGTGGTTTTTAGAGAGGAATCATGCACCACCTAATATCAGTCGAAACCCTATAATGCAACAGGTACTACATAGAATCAATGCATCGATATATATATATATAAAGTAATATAAACAGGCATTATCATTGTTCTAGATATGTGACATATATTGTATAATATGTGTTTTCGGCATTGGTTATGTGGAAGTTGATCAAGAAAACACACTTGGTGTGCTTTGGGCATTGCTTGCCAAGCGACCCGGGTAGTTTCACACACGACTCCATTGTGCAAAGCTTCTTGAGAGGCAAAAATAATGGTGCCAGAGCAGTTGATACTTTGGTATCTTTGGTGGATGTTATACAATCACATGATTTTGACAGAATGATCCAAATCGGGGTGCACGTGCTGCAATCACTGCATAAATTGGCACAAGAGTTTCATCAGTCCGCCCTTGGAGCACTAAGTTTCTGTTGGATGGCAGAGAACGGTAGACTTATACATGCAACCCAGATCTGTCTGATGTAGGTGATGCAAGCGTTCCAATGCGTTCCAAGTTTTGTCGTGCTCACCAGTGGTAGCATTCCAATACCTTTGGAGCGATTTTGATGGTTTTTCTTTTGTGTGCGTGTGGTGAAACCTGTTATTTTCATAGGAGTCTGGATTGTTTGAAGCACGATCTACAATTCCTGGCAGGGATCGGAACCGCAACTTGCTGAAGGGACGCCTTTGTACGTTTCACATCACAGATGTTTGCAGAGCAATCAATCTTAAAACTTGAAACACTGTCATTACAATGACACGGCAATGGTTCAGGACAGGAGCTTTTGTTTCTAAACTCCCTGAAACAATCACGGATGGAACACAATCATATGCCCCTGGAAGACCATTTTCCTCTACAAGTGGGGCCTGCTCAGCTTCCATGATTGTCTGACTGAGTGTAGTTCTGTTTAAATTCGCTTTTACTGCTCTATGAACATTTGGGTACTTCATATCTTCTCACGTGCGGTATGGGATCCATACCCGTGTAAGCGACTGCCCAGATCATTGCAAAAAGTGGGAGGGTGCTGGGATATTCCAGCAGGCCATCGCTCTTCGGTTGGAGGCCATTGCTAGTCGTTTTTTCTCGTGGTGGTGCTTCAGACTTTGGGACCAGAAGCGGGGGAGTGGTGCTTTTTCACTCCTGGGCACTGAAGAAACGTGGCACAGTGAGTCGCAAACATGATATTATGTGGAATTCACCATTCGGACTTGGTTTAGAGTTTAGTGTGAATGGGCTTCCTATCTGGCATTAGGTGTCTTAATGTTCGGATTGTTCAAGTACATTGAATTGCATTTGTCACTGAGGCCAAAGAAGCCTACCATGAGCTATTTCAGCTGCAGGAGGGGCCGCTATGGTGGCAACTTAGCTGTGTAAACCCATGTAACTCTACTCCGTGATCCTCCGTGTGACTTCTAGGTACTCTAATTTCTTGGAGCCCATACATCATCCTGTAGCAAGTTGAAAGCCTGGCCAGATGCAGTTCACTGTCGATTGTAAGTTGTGACACTGAAACCTTGGTCGTGGTATGTTTTGGTGATATTGAAAGGGTACTCAGCAGGAGGAGTCAAAGGAAAGCGCACTTGTCGACTGAGGGAAAGCGCACTTCACGGAGCTATCCCCGATCCATACAGAAGATATCAGGAAAATACTATATCAAGTGGTACGGCATCGGATGGGCAGTGCGCATTTAATCTGAGCCACCAGCAAAATGATGCCTGCATTGCATCGGCGTATCAATCATGCAGGTACGCATTGTATAGATATGTTATACGGCTCCTCCGAGTCATCATAACATGCTTTTTCGCTTCAGAGACGGACATTGAGGGGGAGGAGGCCTCCTCATGAGGGCTTGGCAAGCCCTCAGCATGGCCCGCATTCTCGTCCCTTTCAGGAGCGTTCCAAGAAGCTCACCAAGGTCCGTTTGCATCTCGGGTCAGACTGAGACAGCGACAGCATGCAGCAGGCAACTGACAAGGACAGGACTGATGAGTAGCTCAAAATGCTTCAGATGAAGGAGAGGAGTGGGTGGGTGACAAGGATGGATATATGCTGGAGGTCCAGGTACATCCTGCAAACTTCGCAGATTGATTTGTTTGAGTGATGAGCAAAGATCAATTAAGGTCCAGGAGAGAACTTGTTTCGACAGTGACCTTCCTTTGACCTTCCTTGCCAAGGTGAAGAGCTAGAACAACGCAGCCATTTGCGTCAAAAAGGAGTCGCCATCCAGGCACATAATGCAAACGCACCAGGATCATGTAACAGTGTGTAGCTGTTGGTCGTGGAGAGGTTGATGAAGAAAACCTTTCGTGCATGGCTTATACAAGACTCATTTAAGAACCGTCCTTGAGAACAGATCCAGCCGCCATGCAGATTGAACCTACAAAAATTCCTATATCTATCTATATATATATATATTATATATATATTTGGGCTGGAACTAAGAAGGGAATCCCAAAAAGACACATTGCCTAGAAGGGAACATAGACTGTCAGACTAGTTCGTGCAGCCGCACTTTTTTACCAACGCACTCCCGGGCGGAGGGGGGAGGCTGAACGTCGATGACTGTCAGGTCCGCGAAGGCAGCAAAGATAAGCCTGCGCAATACCGATGGCTCTACGATCGGAAGCGCTGAAAGGTAGGTTTCACAGTCACCATGACCCGACAGCAAATGTTCCGTGAGAGAATAATGATGGACCACAAGTTAGATTTCGATTGGAGGGACCAAGCGTTGGTGTGTTGTCCACATCACAACTCGTCTTGGACATGTTCAACATCAAAGGCAGTCACTTTGTCCCAGCGGAAGTGATACGATTTCGATTTGGGTCTGAAAGGGATAGCACGAGTCCCACGCAGATTTTGTTGAGTCACACACACATGGAAGGTGGCACAGTTGCACCGTCTTGTTTTCAGCCTGTTGTAGACAGTAGCCCCATGGAAGCTCAAAGGGTCTGATGAACCTTGCAGCTGAGCTGCCTTAATGCACAAGGAAGCTCTGGTGCCAAGCAATGCAAGTTTCTAGTCACGGTTGAGATGGTGAGTGAATGATGGTACCACTTCTGTGCTGTAAGATCCACGAAGCAAGTGCTTGACTTCAAGGCGTGCACAGAAAAACAAGTAAAAACATGTGGACTCTGGAAGGCGCCAGCACCTCTCAATCACCAGTGAAATGCAAAAAGACACCACCAGCAGTGCAGAGCATGATTCAACATGGCCCAACATGCTCGTGTCACAGGGCTGCTTCAGCGGCATGCGATGTTAATAGATTCTAGGAGATGTTTCAGATAAAATACAAAATGCTGGGCAATCGTCGCCCAGATTTCCCTTGCAATGTATAAGTTCTGCAGATGATGGGTGAAGCTTAAACTCACAGCTTTGGGTCAGAGTCTGCGTGTGTTTGTCATGCGACCAATGGCCCGTTTTCTTTTTTGTGCGGTCGGATCGCCAGCCAGCGTTATCAAGCCACAGGACAGAGAAAAGCAGACACATTGCATGACTTGCCGACTGAGTAGACGACAAACTTCCCTGACTATCCATGTCGACCAGACTCTGCTTGAAGTTCCCCCATCAGCTCCTCACGGGCCAGTGGTGTAAAAGACGTGTTATACAAATACCATGCAAGAAAACCACCGCCTTGCAAGGATGTGGTTCGATACTAAAGTGTCGATCATTCATATCATTCTCCGTAGCCACAGGAGGATCACAAGAGGGAGTGGGTAGTGGGTTGTAAGGATGGTTCAAAGCGAAGATTCAGGTGGAACTCCCACTGATCTAAGAACAAGAGTGAACAAGCAATATCGGATGACATCGGATAACATTGGATGACATGGAGCCGAAGTTGAAAGAACTAAACGGTGGGACCGGGCGTGTGATGAACATCCGATCGCCTGCACGTGTGAGATGGCGGTTGACCGCAGAGCAGGCCCGGAGCCATTCTTTCCTCAGCATGTCAAAGCGAAAAGTATCGGAAGGAACCCACGAGTCTTTGGGATCTTTTGGATCTTTGGGTGTTGCAGATCTTTATGGATCCAGGATCTCCCTCCAGTGGGTGCGTGTACTTGGCATCAAGCCCCAGTGGTGGTGTACGTTGTCAATTCTTTTCTGCATGGTTTTTAAAGCTAGATTCAGACATCAAAGGTGGCTTGAGCAGAAAACGTAGTCTAGCATTTTCTAGCAGCCTTGTTGCGTGCACCTGGCTCTACCTGGGTTGCTTTTCATTCTTTCATCCCCCTCTTCCACGCAGCTCAAAACGATGCACATGGAGGCAGACAGGTACACTCGGGGAACCTCGTGCACCATACGCGGCATCTCCAGGGACCTTCGCGCAGAGTGTTTCTTGCGCTGATTCTCCTCGTGGTGGGCCACTGCGTCGCGACCTTTCTAGGTCCTGGCTCTGGTGCACGTGAGGAGCTTGGAAGTGCAAGAGATGACCTTTTGACCGTTGACCAATGACCAATGGCATGGAATCTTGAACGTCGGTTATTTCATATGGCTCGATGATTTGGTAGTGGATTAAAGACTGTGTCCGGTTGCTTCTCCTTGAACAGGCGCCGTTGAATCTGGAGCCATGTTTGACATGATTCATTCTGGCTGGTTGCTCAACAGAATATGTTTGATAGCAGGATACAGCTCTTTGACCCAAAGTCCCCAGCAATTGATGCCAATTTCAGAAGATCCTGCTGTATCCTTTTCACTGTCTTGGACTTGCAAGTGAGTCTAAGCCTGTATTGTGTCATCAATTTTGCCTGATCGCCCAGATTTGGATGCTTGAAGTACACAGTGACTTTGGCAATCCTAATCTGCTCCATCAAACCTATCAGAAATGCCCAAGGCAACCCTCGAGTCCTTTGCTCGGCTGTGGAGGCTCGCTGTTGGTATCAGGATTTGTTTGAACTAGTGCTGAGCTCGGTGTTTGTAGAGCAATGGACTTTGGAGCTTTGTTACTGGCTGAAGCTTGGTGACCGACGTTTTTTCTTGTCTGCAAGGCTCAAGCTGGAT